TAATTAGCAACGATTAATATCGATTAATATCGATTTTATCGATCATCGGTTTCATCGATTAATGACTCCGGGGAAATACTTATTGTGTCTACAATTTCATCTTACTAACCACTAGATATCTGGTTTTATCATATAATTATCTATGAAATACCTATATTTCTCCATTTCGTAAAATTGTTTTTTTCACTAGTGAAAATAACATGTCATTTTCACTAGTGAAAATAACACATTCGAGGTTTCTCAAGTAAGAAAAAAGGTATTTTACGACATAATTTGCTTTCATATAAAATTATATGATAAATAGAATAATACATGTTCGCTTGGGGATACGAATTTTATCTTCTCGTGTTGAAAATCTTTTCAACAGTCGAAGATAAAATCCGTATCTCCGCGCGCCCATGTAATATCCTCTATTTTCTACACCTTTTTAAATTAAAAATACATAGTACTGAATCGTTCCTTTTAATGTTTTGATCTTAAGAGCACTCCGTTTATTTGGATTTTAAGAACAAATTCAAATCTTTGACAAAGCAATTATTCAGGACTGATTGTGARATTCATAGCACTTTGACCCCACATATTATYGATGTTTGTTATGAAATAATAGAAAACCACCACCRGTTATAAAGTAGCTTTTAACTTGCTTCACAAGAATATGTATTTTTCAATCTTCATGTTAYTTTCTTTAGTCTCCGAGATATATTTCGTCTAAAACATCCTCTACACTCTGCATTTTACATGTATGCTTTATGGGTAAAACCGCTGAGTGTTAAKAAAKAATCGCTTGCGCTAAATGATMTTATTTTTTCGTGACAGCTGACGCGGTGTGAAATCAGTCATGTGACTTATGGAGTAACGACCACAATGCATTATGGTTGCATTACCACGTTAGCATTAGTTCACTTTTCGTGACTTCCGCTATGACTTCCAGTCAGCCCTTTGATTGCTTTTGCCCCAAAACCTATATCAACACTCACTCAAATACCAAATTACAGTTGTATTTTGTGGAAAAAGTAACATATTTTTGGAGTCATGTTGTTCAAGACCGCTTTATCACTTCTGGYAGAGTCTTRGACTACGGCGCTGGACCGCTGATCTCCAGATACATCACTGCATCGAAGTATGTCCACACCATTATCGCTGCTGAATATTTAGAAGCAAATCGTAAAGCCATCAAAGATTGGATCGCTCAAGACCCAGATGCCTTCAACTGGAGGCCGACGTTTGAGTATGTTGTACAGAGTTTAGAAGGAATGCCGGCAGAAGAAGTCGACAAAAGGGAAACTGAAGTGAGGAAGAAGATTAAGGCTGTGTTTCCATGCGACAGCAAGGCAGCCGTTCGTCTTCAAATACCCAGTGATTCTCTGGCAGAGTACGGCCCGCCATACGATGTCGTCATGACCTGTTTGACGTTAGAGACTGTAGTCGAGAGTGAGGAAGAATATAAAGATCATGTTGCATTCCTTGCTAGTCTGGTTCGACCCAAAGGTTATCTAGTAATGCTTGGAGCTTTAGAGAATACGTACTACACTATTGGCGCTTACAAGTTTAAATGTTTTCCCGTGAAAAAAGATATGGTTATTAGAAGCGTAAAAGAAGCAGGCTTTAAAGATATTGTATTCGATATGGCTCCCGTGGTTCCCGATCACACTAGAGGAGACTCAAATGCATTTTACTTCTTATATGCGATCAAGGCATAGCGTACAAGACTTACAAGCTACAAGTCTTTCTACCAACAYGAACTCTATCTCATTTACTCGAACAATCAAKAATTTAGCCATAAATTAATACCAAAAGGTAAATCCAATAAGCAATCCTCTAACTGCGAATTGCAACGACCACTTGGCGGTCCTCGGAATTCTTTCTGGTCCAGTTATTTTTTCTTTTGATTACAAGGAGTCCTATTCCATATACATTGTAGATGAAGTACGAGTAATAAATAATCTATACATGCTAAGCCAAAGAATTCTAAAGTATAACTTTCACAACTTATAATTATAATTAAGAGAAAAATTATGTGAGTCGTTTTGTAAGGTCAGTTATAGTTGTGACATCAACTRTCGACACAATGAAAAAATAAATAAATAAAGTATACTAAACGACGCATAATCCCGGGAGACGCATAGTTTACTTTGGAAGAGATTAGATATCTGGTATTACGSTACATTTATCAAGCTGAAAGATCACGTTCTCCGGTTGGGGGAATCCGGGGTAAAAGTACCGGKGATACWCATCAGAAATTTTCAAAAAGACCCCTAAAAGATCCGGGGAGTTTTGAAAAAAGGCATGGCTGACAGATTTTAAACCCCTAAGAGATTGCGAAACACAAATATTGAGAAAAAACAATATCGATGCGCTCTTTCTCTTCTTTTCTGATATCCTAAGAGATTGCAGAGAATGAATATTTACAGAAATTCAAACTTGGCACCCTAAAAGATTCTCCATCGCGAATTATCACCCCTAAGAAATCCGACGAGCATTCTCGGTACTTTTATCCCCCCCCCCTGGATCCCAGTCAATACCTGTTTCTTCTCAGGCCATTCAATACCGATCTGGTGTCTGAGAAGTACAAGGTCTCTTTCACCATCTTTGTATGCAAGTTTTGTCTTTAGAAATTCAGCGAGAGTGTCAAACGCGGTCTTCTGAGGAATTACAGGCTCATCTGAAAAAAGCCCTAATCTGAAAACAAATCAACGATTTATTAACATTTCATTTACAATTTGATGAAAGATGTATTAAAATAATTAAAAAACAGAGCGAGGGAGAATGGACGAACAAATCAGATGAACAAATATTCAAGGAGCAGGTTTTTGTYTAGTRTGAAAAATRACCACTTTTGAAGAGAGGAAAAGAAACAATGTTTGTTTTTAATTTTTTAAAAGGAATCGTGAGAAGCGTCCGCCATTTTGTAAATAGCGAGGAAGAGAAAGCCCTGGGTAGGAGGTTGCAACAAGAAGGAAGAAAACAATTTTAAAAATGGAATGCACTGAAAATGATGGGAAAAGGGTGAATGTAAAAAATGAGCAAAAAAGGGAATATAGAAAAGAACAAGAAAAATAATAAGCTAAAAAATAACAAAGGAAATTGGACGAAGTGCTTTTAAGTGCGTAAATGAGACAATTTTATGGAATAAAATGTCAATATAGGAAGTGTTTGGAACAAAACGTATATAACTAATAGGCAATAATGTACAGCGTCGCCATTTTGTGCAGCAAAGCATGATGGTAGTTGCACTCTTCACACTTATCATAAAGGGCTACTTGGACGAAAATTGCGAAACATTAGAAAAGACTTGGAAATCAAATAGACCTATCCATATGGGTGTAATAATCATGAAGCAACAGATTTCAAGAAAATATTGATGCAAATCCTTAATAATTTGGTCAAAAAATGTTGGAGTAGATGACGTCGTTTACTCCATCCTTTTGCTCTTCCATCTTTTGAATCAAAATTTCTCTGATGTGGGATAATTCCAAGACAAATATTTTCCCGCAATTGTTTTTAATAGATATAAATGAGTCATATATTTGTATTGCTTGAMGTTTTGAAATAAGGCCATTTTCATGCAAATAGCACTATAAAACTAAAAATATCTCCTTCAAAGCCATTTTGACACTTTCTTTTCGACTTAGATAAAGTAAAACAAATTCAGATGAACTGTTTAAGCACGAGGAMTACAACTACCATCATGCTTTGCTGCACAAAATGGCGTCGCTGCACATTGCCTATTGTAACTCACTCTTTTATCGCTTGTAGCTTTGCGTCATCTCGTCCAACTTTCTCGTACACCAATGAAGTCAACTCTGACAGACCAGCATCAGGTCGACCCATTATTGTTGCCAGTAATACGTGCTGCACAAACAAAAATTATTTAACTTGAATAGGAACGAAAATATATGACATTTTTACAATATCATTAGGACGAAAAATTCTGAGGGGGGAGGGGGTAGGACGAAAAATTTGAGGGGGGTAGGGAGAGGGTCTGTGCTGCACACTAATAAACTCGGGATTGTAAGCCCTAAAGATAGGTCCACTTGCATTGTAATAATATATTTCTTAAAAGTGTACTGGGATAATAAGTCAAAATACAGAGATTTGAAGTCATTCTTTAATGTCGCTATACTTACAAAAGGGATTTCTCTTGCTTCGGCAAACATAGGATGTTCTCTTAAGCTGTAAAATCCAAGCTGATACAAGCCAGACATGGCAGTAGAAAAACCCTGCGGAATGAATTAAGTTATGTTTGTAATTGGTAAAAGCATGCTAAGCATCACTCTCCATGCAAAAAAAAAAATAAAAAAAAGTACGCATGCGTGGATTATTATCACTTTATACAGCAGAAGAGCTAAAAATAGCAAAAACGACGAAGGGGAAGAAAAAGACGAGACGTATGTATAACAACATGAATATATGCAACAATACGTAAATGTTCTTTCGCCTAATGACGTCATGCGTTACTTGGAGAGGTGCATTATGGGATCGAAAAACGCACTAAATAACTGAAACCAAGTTGCTGTGTTTCAGGTACTTTTCTAAACAAAAAGCAGGCTTTGAGAGTACGTTTTTGTACGCAGCCACGTTATTTGAATTTTTCCAACAGTTTCCTGATAGCGAATAACGTTTGAAGGACATGCGCCATCTTGGTATTTTTATCAATACCATGATGCATTTCGCCGAATGGTACTGACGTTACGTCATCAATAGGACGGAATGTACACTAAAAATAATCTTCGCCCCAATCTATCGTGTGCAAACTAATAGATTCCAAAATTTTGTAACTGTAAAATTCCAAATGTAAGTGTTTTTGTCCTTTTCCAATTATTTACCAAGCCTGTAATTCAGTATTATCATTACTGCTAGTGGCCCTAATAAACAGTATTATTATTATTATTAACCTCGTATCTAAGTGTTCCTCTGATAACAGTGTCTGCAGTTTGTATGTTGTATTTCTCTTTGTATACGGTAGAGTCTCGATTGGGATATTCCTCAAGACGAAAGCCTGGGAACTGGTCCGTTGAGCGGATTTCGTTAATAAGACGTTCCCCTGAATCTACTGTAACAGTCTGTGGAGTATTAAGAAATATTAAAGATTTGGCTGATGAATCATCATTACCACAACAAAAACAGCAACGACGCCAACAACAGCAACACCAACGACAACAATGACACTGAAACAGCGACAACAATGATGACGACGACGACAACAACAAAAGTACCAAAACAGTAACAAAACCGACGACGCTAGCAACAGAAACATCAAAGAAAACAAACACGACAACAAAAACCACGACATCGATACGAACGACACTGAAACAGCTACAATGACGATGACGACGACAACAACGACAGCAGCATCAACACTAACAAAAAGCAAGAAAATAACAATAACTACGACGGCAACAACAACAACGACAAAAGTACAAAAACATCAACTAAACCAACAACAACAACAGCATCAGTTACACCACTCAGCTTACCTTTCCATACCAAAGATACTTTGCCCCATGCATAATTGTCATTAACCCAGCTCTGGGATTCCAGCTTCAAAGGTAATCGAAAATTAAATAGAAAACACATCAATTATCTGGGAATAAGGGAAGGACAGCTTACGAAGGATGCTTTAAGGCCGATTTAGACGGTGCAACTTTTGCCTACAACCATCGCATGCAACCTGCTTAAGTCATCCTTACAACATGGCTACAACTGTCGTAGGGTTATAAAGCAATTGTTTTAAATTCCTACAACAGTTGTAGCCATGTTGCAAGGATGTCTTACTCGGGTTGCATGCGATGGTTGTAGGCAAAAGTTGTTCCGTATAAATCGGCCTTTAAGGTTCCTCGACACCAGACATTTGAACAGTCAGTTTTACCTGAATTTGTATCGCAAGGGATTGTCAGCACATTCTGGAGCTGGCAAACCACCGCAGTATGACAGAAAAGACGTTATCTTTAAACAAAGTAAATATAAATATATTATTTAATTTTATATATATATGATATCAAAGAGGCAAGATTTTGCTGTTACTCCGAGTTTCGTGCTACGCACTCATCAGTATTAAATACTGTCTGATGAGTGCGTAGCACGAAACTCGGAGTTACAGCAAAATCTTGGCTCTTTGATATCATATATATAACTAGCTCTACACTTTATGTGTATTGAGCACTCTTTAATGGGATCAGCTACTTCCTCATACGATTATATTATTATTTAATTTTATAAAATTTTTGATGTATAACGCGCCCTTTGACTGCCTGACTATCAGAGGACAGAGACACGGCTTACCGGCAAAATTTTCTTTTCGCTCAAAAAATTTTATAAAAGAAATATAAAACGGCCGCTTGTGTCTCTGTCCTCTGATATAAACACGGTGGGAGTTGAAAAACACTCGAGAAGCAAGAGAAACACTCGCTGCGCTTGTGTTCCTAAGATTTTCATAAACTCGTGAATCAGAGTGTACACACGCGCGCTGATTGGCGGATTTCATGAGACAAGCTATGGTGTATTTCGCCAGTATGTAATGAAAGTAATGAAATGTAGAATGCTAAAGCTTATATCCTGGGTTAATGGAATCCACTCTAATACCAAGAAAAATACACAACAAAAATAATAGAGCAATGGATGGAATGGATAGAGATATGAGAGCAATACAAAAACCACAATGACAATAACAATGACATCATTCACCATTCCTCCTTCCTCTTTGACGTCATCAAAACATTCCATTGCTAACATGTGATCAATGCCAGGATCAAGACCCAGTTCCATTCCTATGCAGATACCAGCTTCTTTGGCTCTGTGGATAAATTGTTTGACTTTTATTGCTATACTAGCTCTTGTGAACATTCAGGAATAATAAATAAAGCGGGTTGATGGAATGAATAAGTGTTTCCTACTTGATAAATATAATTCATGCCAAGCAACGCGTAAAAATGTCCAAAAGAAGAAGTGTAGGTAAAAACAACTTGGTTTAAGCGCCTGGGCCTGTCATGCTGATGTTTAAAAAGTGCAATGTATTTTTTGCGGTCAACTTGCTAAAGACTACAACGACAAAAGCCCACGATATTGATTCTACAGCTGAGTAGATTGACAACGATGCACACTGGCTTGCACTTTGGACAGCCCGCGTAAAGTCAAAATGCTTAACCAAAGCATAGCAGTGTAGAGGAGCGTTATTAATGAGTATTTTAATATGTATATTACTAATGTAACAGTTGGGTTTAAATCTGTAATACAGATATATACTGTATGAATTTTAACAATTTTATTGAATATAAGACGGTATGAGCTCATAGCCACAGGGATTCCCATGAACAACATATAATTATCAGACGTCTCTTTGCGGTGAGCGGCGAAGGTAGGTGAACAGCTTGTCTGGTGATACGATATCGCTCAATGCTGATGATCAGAAGAGTTACAAGCGATTCAGTGAATAAAGTTAAGTAGAAAAACGGCATAATTTTGCAAATAATATTCGTTAAGACTTCATCGCCATCATTCCATATTAAAACATTGTCCATACCAAATAAAACGCCTCTCACGCCATACCAGAGTTGAAACACAATAAAGAGAGAATCTGTAACGGCCATGTTTATGATCAAAAAGTGCAGTCTTTTTCTTACAGTGAACTTCACAGCGAGCACGATGACAAAAACATTTCCAATGAAACCAAGTTCACCAAAACTTAAACATGTTGTGAGTTTTACTGCTCTTACGAAATTTGTGTCTGGTACATTGAACTTGCAGTAGCTTGTGACTTGGGAAAAATTCGCTGTAGAATTATTCATCGTTGACGTTGTTTTCTCCTTATGCGAGCTTATTTTTCCATGATTTCTGGTTATTTTTAACTTTCCTCCTCTTCTCTTCGTCGTAAAGTTCAGTTATCCGTTTTCTCCGCCGTCTGTGTGCTGCTTCCGTTTTGTCCTTTATTTTATCTCTTTAGTGTAAATCACCCCTTACTGCTCAACAACTCAGTTTTCTTTGTAAAAGAAAATAACAAGAACTGACAATTTCTTTTTATCTTTGTATTTAGTAGACAGCTTTCAACCTTCAAATCTTTCGTTTTCCTTACAAGTAGCTCGTTCAGTGCTTGGCAAGGATGCAATTTGCGAATGACTATTTGTCGCGTTCAGTACGGAGATCGATGTCATCTACAACGGAGCGATCTCATTGAAAAATTTCTATGCAATTTGGCTAACATACGGGTCATGTGCTCTTTTATCGCATATTATAATCTGTTATCAGTCAGGCAATTCCCACGGGACATAAAATTCATTGTAAATTTCGCACAAAAGCAATAATATTTATATAAATAGGTTGGAGTTTACTTTCGTTTTAAAGCTTGAAATAGTCAATATAATCTTACATGAACCTATAAAGGTAAGAATGTAATAGGTGGTCGTATGATGACGTAGTTTGTTTACATCCAAAATATAAATTCAAAAAATAAGCAATCTGAACTCGTATAATTCAAGATTATATTGATGTCAACAAAACCTGAAAATTTTAGGTCAAACGCCTTTTTACATTTAGAGATATCGGCATTTCAAAACTACAAAATCTATAGAAAACATTCAGTGGTTGGCAAAATAATGCCAACCACGGTCATTTCTTTAGAAAATCTTGCAAATTCGGCGCGTGATATCTCTTGAAATATTTAACCAATTGCCTTCAAATTTGCAGGAATTGCTAACAGGTATGAGTTCTTTTCATTTATCGGCTTGATTTTCTTGTGTCTTGAAATTCGATTTCTGCTTTTATACAAATTAGCTAAAACGTAAACATTGGCTCCCACCCATTAACAGCTTTGCGTCATGAGGACTTCCAATAAAATCAAAACATCTAAACATGCCATTTAAATTCCTTAACCACACATCTATGACTAATAAGTCCTCCAGCAATTTTCAAAAAAAACTTTAAAATGTTCAGATAGAACAATCATTATTGCACCTCTGTTTATCCAACTGACTATACATTCACCATCTGGTACTTTAACGGTTCTAAACTAAAATTGCAGTCGTGAACGTAAATTATTCATAAAGATGAAAAATCGAAGTGCATGGAAGTAATGCATGGAAACGGCTAGAGAGAACGGTCGAGAATGTTTGTTTTCTAACAATGAATGTCATTATTAGTTCTATAGAAATCAATATAGAACTTACATCGAATATAGTAAATTTCATTATTGGGTTTTTCCTTAAATAAAGGAAATTTGTTCCCTTTCTATCTAAACCAAAACATGCATATAAACTGCTTATTGTGAAATTAATAAATAACTGGGAAATTACATACCCAATTTTACTAAAACAATTAATAATTAAATGGTTTTGGTTAAATGATATGTATGTTCGTGATCGTACTTAAAGCGTGCAACTGTACAAAATCTAAGTAGTACTAATTTGTGCTAAAAGTGGACCTGAAGCAAGACGGTATTGAATGCTTCATTTGTATCAATTCAATTTAATCTGGGTAATGCATGCACGATTTACTAAATACAACTAAATAGCACTATTAAGTTTGCACAGTTGCACAGTTTAAGTGCGATTACTCTAGAGTGATCGCACTTAATCCGTGCAACTGTACAAACTAAATAGTTCTGAGTTGTATTGAGTTGTATTTAGTAAATCGTGCATGCGGTACGCAAATTAAATTTAATTGAATACCGTCTTCCTTCAGGTCCACTTTTAGTACAAATTAATACTACGTAGATTTTGTACAGTTGCACGGATTAAGTGCGATCACTCTACGCTTATGGAACAAAAATAAATAAAAATTTAAGCAGATTTCGGATTTATCGCATTGAAATTCAACTGAATTCGCCATTGTTAACTTGCTAATCATTTGTAAAAGTTTCGCTTGCTAGCTATTAATTCACTAATATTTTGAAATGAAAGGCTTATTTTCAGAGTGCTTTCAGTAACATTCGTATAATTTTCCCGAAAGTTTTCTTGGCTAAAGAAAAATCGGCGCCTTCCGACAGGAAAAACACCGAATATTGCGCGGGAACTAAAAAGCAAAAATAAACACATATATGACGTTTATCTTTTATCGCCTTTTTTATTTCTTTCTTTTGAAAYCGCTGTGTTTATTGCTTGTCAAACATTACCAGAAATGCTATTGAAATTTTAGAAAAATGTAATTAAAAAAATTCAAAAATGAGAAATTTGATTAACATATTTGCTTGGCACAATAAGAAATTCTGTCAAAACTGCAAGTAATTATAAACAAATTCACCAACATCCAAAGACATAAAAAATAGAGAGGATATTACATGCGCGCTTGGAGATATGACTGATTTATCTTCGAGTGTTAAATTGATATCTCACAAGGGAGCGAATCTAATAAATAATTTTTAAGTTGTATGTTGTATTCGTGATATAATGAGATTTTAAAAAATCTAGATAAATATAATTACTACATTCATTTCTTTATTTATTTTTCATCTTCACATGACTACTTAGAATTACATGCTTCCTTTCAAATAAAAGTGATTTTAAAAAAGCCGACATGTGCATTTTAACTATCAACAACTGCAGGAAGCCAGAATGAGTTTCTTATTCGAGATTTTAACCACTAGAAAAGTTTGCAAATGTCAAATGTTACATATAAACAAGCAAAGACACAATCACGGGTAAGTCCAACATTGCAACCTTACTTTGCTTGCACTTGTTTCATTCTTTGTATTTATTATTTTTGTTTGCCCGACGTCCGAGAAGCGGCTATAGATTGCGCAGTTGTGCAAGGTACTGACCAAAATTTAACAGTACATGCCATGTAAACAAGGTGTGGTCTCTGTCAATCTACTCGGCTCTAGGTGTAGTCTTCACCAAGTTCTTAGTAAAACATCTGCACTTTTTGAAAGTCAATATGACATCGCATACCGGGATATTGATCGTTTTCAACCATTCCCACGAGATTCAAAAGATAAAAGACCGGCGGCCATGTTGGAGGAATGAACAATAGATACTAATGAGAAATCCTTTGTTAAAGTTCAACCAAGATGGCCGCTGTGACGCATGCTTCCAAGAAAGTTGCTAGAAGATTGCCCCTCAAAAAGCCATTATTCAATTCATTATTCGATTCTTGGTCGATTCAACATTACATTATTGAAATCAAATTTGAATTCAAACTTCGAAATTTGATTGGATTGCTGGTCGGATTTTCATAAAGCCTTCTTTGTATTTTGCTTCTAAACATGCTGGTCTTTTGTAATTCCAACAAGTCGATGCATTGCAATATGCTGTCTGTTAGTTTGGTTGTATCTGTTCCTTCTCGTGAGAAAGGAATGACGGCCTCAAAAAGCTGGAAATGCTGTGTTGTCTTCTGTCATCATCAGAGTTCGAGATTTGAATTTAATTTTGCATTAATCAACTAAAGTTTGAAAACGAAAAATCCAATGAAAAGTCCAATAATGCATTGAATAACGAACTATTAAGGGGGCGCGTTTCATGTCTTTAGGCTGTAAGTACTTCCTAAGTTGCACTGACAGCAAACGTTGGGAAAACAAATGCCTATCGCATTCACACTAACTCACTCGTAAAATCTATGGTTAAGAATATTTGGTTAATATTTGATGTTCCGGCCCTTTTTACAGGTACTTAGAATTGGATCTCTATATCATTAATTTTCTACATTACATAATTCAATTTATCATGTAATTATCTATGAAATACCTATATTTCTCCATTACGTGAAATTGATATTTTCACTAGTGAAAATAACATGTTATTTTCAGTAGTGAAAATAACACATTCGAGGTTTCTCCATATAGTGGAAGTACGAAAAAAGGTATTTTGCAACATAATTTGCTTTCATATTTAATTATATGATAAACAGGATATTACATGGTCGCTTGGAGATACGAATTTTATCTTCTCGTGTTGAAAATCTCTTCAAAAAATCTTTTCAACACTCGAAGATAAAATCCGTATCTCCGCGCGCTCATGTAATATCCTCTATATTTCATAAACAGTATTTCTTAAATTGGGCAATTATTATAGTCAATATGACCATCTGGTCCTTAAAACAAAACACAAACCATTTGAATGCCTGCTGTCAGTATAATGCAGCTCAACGTTTAATTGATACACCAAAACTGAAACGTTGTTGTCAAATCAGTACTGATATCATTGATCTGTTGATTGGAATCGTACTATTAATCGTTCTTCACGGCACTCATATAACTACGTTGATTATCTGCTTGGAAAAACGAAAAACTATTTATATTTCAACAAAAAGGAAAGAATAAAAGAAAAAATGAACATGTGAATTTCTGAGAAATCTTCATTTGTTCGAGAGAGCTGCGATAAATCCCTGGAGAGCAAAAATGTTATTGATTTGGCGGTCTACAAAAGGACAAAATATCCTCAATTGTATATAATTATTCAAATTTGTCTTAAAAATAACTTTCACAAATTCATTTAACTACGAAATGCCGTTCCATCAGGACTTCTGCCAACAATGAACAGTGCTAAAATTGAACTAAACAAGAATTCTAGAAAAGCCTTGAATGCCTCTCATTAGCACCTTGAACAGTACCTCTCGCAGGACGCCAAAAGAAGTTCTCTTACATAATCGACACGACACATGCGCCAGAAGGAAAAATAGTAAGTACGAAGATGAAAAAGTTCGTAGGGGAAAAGGAGAGAATAGAATAAAAATGAATTGAGAGAAATAATTTTTCTTTTTGTACATTTGAATTTGTAATTCTCTTATATATTATTTATTGTGATTTTAAGTGTGAAATAAGGTCTTTTTATTATTGAGAAAAATAGATAACCAAGGAAAGGAAGTGAAGAAATCGACTTCTATCATTTTAAAATTGCAAAGAACCGATTTAAAGGAAGATCAAAAGAGAAAAAGAACTATTTAAAGAAAGACGAAAGAAATTCAATATATAGCACGAAAGACTATCACTAGAAATAAGCTGAAGAACTTGAAACGAAAGAGTAAAATAAAGGAGAAAGATAACAAGGAACAAGAGTATTTAACATTACATAGAACACAAGAAGGTATTGAACCTAAAAATATAACGTCAAAACCGGATTGATTTAAAAGAAAACAATGAACCAGTCCAACAATACTCAAGACGAGACGTATTGCAAGTTCCATGAACCCGACTCGAGCACTGAGAGATGGATTAAATTTATAGCACTTTTAGTTTTCATTGGAATTGGTTTTATTGGCAACGTATTTGTCATCATACTTGCAGTCAAGTTCACTGTAAAAAGGAGTTTGCACTTTCTGATCATAAATGTGGCTGTCGCAGATATTCTGTTCGACCTTGCCAATCTTTTCTTCGAAGTGACAGCATTTTTCAGATATGATTTATATAATCGTGTCAACGTAGCCTTAGCCGAGACTTTTTGCAAAACATCGGTATACATTTACAGGGTATTCTTAAGCGAATCTCTTTTAACCTTGCTCATTATCAGCATTGAAAGATATAGAGTCACAAGTCAGACAGTCCGCATATCACGCCCTTTTTCCAGAAAACGAGGTTTGGTAATTATTGCCTGTTCTTGGATCATAGCACTGGTAACCAATTTGTATCTTCCCATTTTCAGAAACGTTGTAAAGAGAAATTCAGCATATGTTTGTATAACTAAATTAGAGAGAACACCAGCGATCGTGTTCTACCTCATTTCAATGAACTCAAAACTCTTTTTCTGCTTGGCGATGGTAGTTGTATGCATTTTGACCCTACGAAAGTTATCCAAAGTATCCGCCATTGAAAGCAGCATCTCTTACTACCAAAGGCTGAAAAGAAAAAAGCGAATTCGAGGAGCTGTAAACATGGTGTTGTATTCGTTACTGCTTTCTTCATCTTGGTTCATCCCAACATACACTCTCGCCATCTTGATGAATTTCACAAGACTTTTCGCCACGTATTGCATCGATTGGCGGACAATTCAATTCCTGGCTTTTGAATTTTTCCCCATTTTAAACATTTGCTTGAATCCTTGCATCTATTGTGCCTGTCTAACTGATTTCCGTAAGGCTGCTAGAAGATTACTATGTTGTGACAATAGAATCAGCGTTTCCAGAGAAAATACCATTGAAACAGTTACCGCGCATCGTTTAGAGTCTACTCGAATGTAGAATTGACAACTTGAATTTCCCCTTGTAAATTACATAGTATGTAATAATGATTTTACTGGATTCCTACATATTTTATCGTACAAAATTCAAGCTTTTTAAGAATTAATTTTTAATTTTCAAGGACACCAATTACAAAGAGAAAGACACAGTTACTAAATATAATATATTTGTGTATTACAAAGCACAAAAATAAAAACATCACAGTCAACTTTGTTTGAGAACATTTTTTGGCCGCCATATATTGCACAATAGTACAACACGCATTGCAAAAAGGATTCTTGTCATTTTAATTCAAAGCTTGGTTAAATTGATCCCTAAAACATTACTACTTAATAACAACCAAGACTGATTCAAGGACTGAATTATTATTTTCAAGGACCTTTCCTCCAAATTCAGGGACTTTTTAAGGACCCAGCTCAAAAATCAAGGACTTTTCAAGAATTACGAATCCTGTGATATGATTTCCGAGGAAAGAAGAGGAGCGAGAGCAAGAGAACTAAAATACTAAAACAGCGCAAATTCAATGGAATATTTATAAATAACTTTGCGCACACTTGAAGGAGACTACGGAAAGTAAGAAGGCTCTAAAGTTTATAAGGAAAGATGACCAGTGACTGAAAGTATTTTAAGCTCAATTTCAGCGAGGAAACAAGCAATAACAATAAGCAGACACAAAATAAATAAAATGACATTTTAAGGAAAATATTGCTGTATATATTACTCTATATACGGAAATTACTCAAAATAAAAAAAAAAAATCTTGCACAAATGTGTTTTTTTAAATTGCATCACATGACTTGATACGCACAGCAGTTGGAAATCGTTTATAACGAAACGAGAAACTTAAGCCAAGTTTCTCGAATATTTTTAATTGAAAACTGCAGGTGATCATGTAAAAGTCCGCGATTTTAATTACAATGAAATTTAAGGAGCTATAAAAGACATGTATAGATAGGACAAGGAATTGTGCATTTGAATGAGAGAGAACAATAAAGAAAAGAAAGGAATGGAAAGAAAAAAAAGAAATGAGAGGATCCAAAAATGTACAAATGAAGCATACATAAAGCTGAAGAGGAAAAAAAATCAAATCCGCTAAAAAATCCCAAGAGATGGAGAAAAAATGGTTCATTCTTGGTCAAAACAAGATAAAATTGCTTAAGTTTAAATGATATTGATTCTTTGCTTGTAAACTAAAGGCCAAATTAGACGAGACAACTTTTGCCTACAACCACCGCATGCGACAAATGCGTAAGTCATCCTGTACAACATGACTACAACTGTCGCGGAGCTATTAAGCAATTGTTTTAAATCCCTTACGACTGTTGTAGCCATATTGTAAAGATGACTTAAGCAGGTTGCATGCGATGGATGTAGGCAAAACTGTACCGTCTAATTCGGTTCGTTATGTGCATTACATTTAAATCAGATTTCCTACGTGCAAATTGCGCCTGTCATCTGTATTACGTCCGCTTTACAGTTCTGTTTTTAGTAAGCGAATTAGTGGGAACAAAAGGATGGAAGAACGAATGAAGAACAATGAGAAACAAGGATGCAGTCAATATGGCGTCGATCACAACTTTGCCATAGACCTTTTCTGAGATACGAAATCATGGTGCATTGTGGTCTAGTTTYAGTACAAACAACACCATATTTGGCCACATGAACAAAAGATGTTTGTACCGAATCTAGACCACAATGCAATGCATAATGCTATTTCAGAAAAGGCCTATTGATTGCCCAAAATCCCTATGCTAATCAGAGTCGCTGTCAAAAATGATTATTGCTATGTACTCAAAATACAGTCGGTATAAAATTATAGAGGATATTAATTGCACAGCTGACAAAACTAATAAAATATTTTCACTCTACCAAAGTCTTATTGGATGTTTATCAGGGGCTTATTTTTCTACACAAATACAGCTTCGTCAACTTATCATTTTAATTGGCACGGCTTTTCTTTAAGGTGGCAAATCCATTAAGTTATATTACAAAACCGAGGCGGAACACACATTTGACCATTAGAAGACTTCAAATGACTGCTAATTTTTGTGTTGTGGTTTTCTAATCGCTTATTTGTATTTAGTAAGAGAATCGAGGACCTCCGCCATTATCATTCTAAAAAGGCAGCACAAAGTCAGTCCATGAACTAGTTAATGTGCTCAATCTTACGAAACCATTCATTACAAGGTACTTGTATCTACATAACTGTATCTCAAACTTTAGTATACCAGATAATGATGTCTCCTCTTATATTTCTAATCAAGGAACGCTGCAGGTTGTCAATATTAATTATATATTTTTTTTTTTGTTATAAAACAAAGAATCTACATGTAGCATTTCAAAGACGAATGAAGGTCTTTTACCGCTGACTTGAACAATAAAAAAAAACGCTTCTTATCGCTAGGACGAAGGAAAAAGGAAAACAAAGAGATTGAGAACGAACTCCAAAATCCACAAAGACAATCTAATCAATACGTTTTGAAAGTAGCAATTAGACAAAGAAAATAATAATAAGAAAGTAACTGAAAGAGACTACGATTAAAAGGCAAGAAGAATTAACTGAAGACGCAAAAAAAAGGGAAAATTTGGATAAAATTACAATCATCAACAAAAGAAAACGTGGGAAAAAGAAAAGAAAACAAAAAGGAAAAGAAGAGATAGAAGAATAAGAACAAGAACTTCAAGAAGAACAAGGTATTAGAGAGAGATGAACCATTCAAACTACTCCAGCCTCATGTATTGCAGGTACGCTGAGCCCGATACTTATATTACTAAAGCTATCAAGCATTCGATCTTCTTAGCGTTTGGTGGATTGGGCATCATTGCTAACATTCTGTTCATAATACTGGCAGTAAACTACACTGCAAGAAAGAGTTTGCACTTTTTGATCATCAACATGGCTCTCGCAGATATTATCGTTGTTATTTTTCAGTTTTGGAATTACATCGAAAAAAACATGATTAGCAATGATTACAATATGTGGGACGATGTCGATGGCATTATGGCGGAAGTTTACTGTAAAACAAAGGCTTTTTTTCACTTTGTTGCTAAATCCCAGCCTCTTGTTAACCTATTTATCATAAGCATTGAACGTTATAGGGTCACCAGACAAACTATACAAGTATCAAGGCCATTATCAAGGAAAAAACGCTTTGCAATTATATCTTGTTGTTGGTTAACTCCGACGGTAATATTATCATATCAGCCTCTTTTTTATGAATATATTAAGGATCCCATTTTAAAGGGCTATTGCGAATTAAATTGGAAAAACAAAATGGTATCAATACTACAATCTGTCGATTTATTATTTCATGTCTTATTATATATCTTGATGGTTTTGCTCAGCATTTTAACCTTGCGGAGCCTGACGGTCGTGCAACCCATTGAAAGCAGTCTTTCTGAAGAACAAAGATTACATCGACGAAAGCGAATTCGAGGAACAGTGAAAATGGTACTGTATTCTTTGCTTCTCTTTACTTGTTGCTACGCTCCAAATCATATTTTCGCGACACTGCAGGATTTTAAACTTGTTGATGGAAACTACTGCATTGATAGACGAACATTTAGATTTATAACATGGAGCGTTTTTCCTCTTGTCAACGCCTTGTTTAGTCCTTGTATATACTGTGTCTGTCTGACTGACTTCCGTGATGGGGCCAGGAAGATGCTGTGCTGTACAAGAAACGCATCTGCTGCCAGAGAAAACGTTATGCCAAGGGCTGGTCGTATTCAATCAACTCGCATGTGATAGTATACTTTATAAAATTTTTGATATATAACGCGCGGTCTGATTGGCTGACGACCGTGTTTATATCAGAGGACAGAGACACGGTTTACCGGCAAAATTTTATCTTTGCTCGAAAAATTTTATAAAAGAAATATAAAACGGTCGCTTGTGTCTCTGTCCTSTGATATAAACACGGTGGGAGCTGAAAAACACTCGAGAAGCAAGAGAAACACTCGCTACGCTCGTGTTCCTAAGCTTGCTTCTCTCGTGTTTTTCGCACTCCCACCGTGCTTATATCAGAGGACAGAGACACGCGCGTTGTAAGACATGACGTGCATCTATTTTGAGGACTGGAAGCATTGAATTGGGGAAGGTGGAAGTAATTAGATGATATATTAAGGAAAACAAACTCCATTGAAACAGAAGGCAAGTCACTATCTCCGCCATTGTGGATAGCAACATCAGAGAAGGCGGGGAAGGCCTTTGCGTTAGAACCAGGCCCGTATAGATATCTACAGGCTAACTAGTGGTCCAGTCATTAGTTGTAAATATTGGTATTAACTGCAAAACTCTATTATATATAAACAAATTGATGGTGTATATTCCATGAGGTCTTTTGGTTGACACAAATTCTAAACAGTTTCAATGAAGATTACTAAAACTGACAGCTTGTGTACATCCGTTCCACCCCTCCCCCCTTGGTGGAAAATTCCTCCCCGAAATTTCCCTGTAGGGGGTAGGGGTGGGAATGGATTTACAGTCTATAAAACTGATTGCTATAAATCTAGCTACTCCAATGCTACCAAGATTTGTATTTAATGGACATGCATTTACACAATATTAATAAAAGTGGGAAGAAATGCAGCGTTTTGAAAACTTCTGTAAAAATAAACACTTTCTAGCCTCCACCGCAGGCTTCACTAGGAATCACGGGATTCCTGTCTTTTTGGGGAGTCAAAAGAAGGAGAATGGGGGCGAGAAAGGGGGTTTTTCGTCACTAGTCCCTAGCAGCCAAGATGACCGTTACAAAGGAAGCCCAAAGTAGGAAAAAAGAGCTTTAGGAGGCTAAACAATAGCTATATATTTGAGCAATAAAGGATGGATTGCCGTTTGTTTATCGGTTAAATAAAGCAAGCGGGGATGTTGGGAAAATAAGAAAAAATGTAAAAAAATCCCGAGCAGAGCGAATGTATTTTGGTGGACAAATAACAAGGCATTTTTAAAACTCTCTGAGGACATTAGAGAATATTCCACTTGCAGAAACTGAATATATATATCAAGCAACGAGACAATTAGAACACTGGAGATGTCTTTTTAGGTTGACAACCTTTTCAAGATCGGTTGTATATCGATATTTTTCATTTTACAGATTTTTTTAGCAAAACGCTTACACTGTACTCATGAGGGAAATAAAAGAGATAAAGGAAATAGTGAAAGAAAAAAGGGAACAAGAGAGAATCATCTTTCATAGCTTACGCTTCATGTGCTTCCGGTTCCAGTACGGCTTCGTAGCTAGACGATATCATATTGGTTTTCAGCTCGATGCATTTCCTTGCAACGGCATTGTGATTTTCATATGGTAACTGACTGTAATAAAAGAATGCATCTTAATTTTATATAAATCACTGAGTCTACTGCGAGTTTTCGAGTGAAATAATACCGTAGGGGCCACTTTTAGGTGGTCAGGTTTCAAGCAAAAAGAAACGTTTGCCGTTGGGGGAGTTCCTTTATCAATTTAAATTTGCACGAGGGTTGCTAAGTCAGCCTCTATTGTATGGAATGTTTCTGGGGAATACATACATCGTCTTCGTTGAAGTTGCCAGGGACAGTCTCGAGAGAGGCTATGCCAATTGCATAAATCTGAATTACTTTTAATTCTTTGATTTTAAACCAGTTTCCATCATGATGCTCTTGCTTCATGAGCGAATTTTCACCTCCTCCCCTAGAGCCACTACGCAAGCCCAAAGACGGAGCCAAACACACCATTTATTGGTTCAAGTGCATGGCTATATAATTACACCATACCTAACTACGATGTCATGATCTTTGATGAGCTGCGCGAGTTTTTCTGGATTTTGTTTTGCATCAAGCATAACAGGAGATGTGTTTCTATATGTTGATGCTATTGCTTCCGCCTCACTTACGACATTAGATGCTGCAAAAAAAATATTAACATGATATAAATTTTTAAGTAAATTAACTTTTCGCTTTCGCTTTTAAAACGATTATTTTCATGCGCAACTCAATTTAAAACACAGAGATAACGGACCTCTTGAAGGAGCCATTTTACAGCGAAAACTGTTATTTTACAGACACCATTATGAGGAATTCTCCTTCACGGTTCCCAGCGCCATCTTGAAAGGTAGCTGTGCTTTACAAGAAGCGAGACGACCATTGAGCGTGCAATGATAGATACCTGTGAATAATTGTCTGTAGGTGCGAAAGAGGGTTTCTATCATTGTACGCTCAATGTTCGTCTCGCTTTGATGCAAAGGCACGGCTACCTTTTAAGATGGCGCAAGGAACAGTGAAGAAGACTATTGGGCTTCCTGTGCTTACCTAGAGTCACAGCCAGCTGTTTATCACGTGTAAGGTAGTCGATAGTCGGACCTACAGTCATACCAGCACCAAGAACTAACACTCTCTTCGTGATAGGAACAGGTCGGTTAGGACCCAGTGCTCGGGCCTTGGACTCTTCAATCCTAAAAAAAAACATTGATACATAAATATCTTATTTTATTATCTGTTTAATCCTCAAAAAGTATATCCAAATTAACAGGACGATTTAGAATGTTTTTACCTTTTCCTCAGATCAGCGATATACTTGAAATTTGGTGTAAGTGTTCCATTGGAGGTAATTATTGCCTAAAAAACATCCACAAACTCAGGCATATCTAATATATTCCGAACTAAAAACGCATATAGCAACCTTGTGATTATATAGCTGCTACTCAAAAGATGTTGACTAGCCAACATTACTTAGCAGGGCCGCTTGGAGCAAGGGGACATGAATAACGCTATCAGCTCTGGATAAATCCTTATCAAGAAGAAAAATGCATACTGCGAACTCTGTGAGTCGATGGCTAAGTTATTTACCGTTCGTACGCTATCAGCTCTGAATAAATCCTTATTCAGAAAAAAAAATACATACTGAGAGCTCGGTGAGTGAACACCTCAGTCATTAACACTTCGAACAGCAAGCCACAGGTGGTCGGATGAAAGAATTATTTGCATGTAAGTTTTAGCTTATGTGTGCATGTTATTTTTTATATTATTCATTCTTTTAGAAAAGCTGTTCATAGAGCATTGATTGAAATACTTACATTCTTGATAGTTCCACTGAGATGGGTTTGTTTTTCAAACGGTTCAGTAGCATGGCTGTCAATCTGAAAAATAACGAAAATAAATAAGAGAAATCTAGCCACAGCAACTTATGATGATAGAGAACTTAAGCAACAACAATTATTGAGTCGCCAACGTCAATCGCAAGTAACATTTTACTTCCGGTTTGCGCCAAAATTTAATTGGCGCGCATCGAAGTGCGTGACCGAGGACGTGAGAATGGTAAATTTCAAGCCCAAGTGACGCACTTCGAAGCACGCAAAAATTTCACTTCCGATTAACGTCCGTGCCTCAAAAACTGTTTATGCTTAAGTTCTCTATTGCCTCTTGAGGGAAGTAATACTAAGATTTTCAAAAAGAAATAATTTTGAGTAAAAAAAACTGACAGAAAAGAAATACAAAATAAACTTAAAATTGTGGATGTGGCAAACTTCTAGTCTATTTCACAACTAGAAAGAAGAAAAGCATGGCAGCAGAGTTACTAACTCTGATGGCAGCGAAGTCTTACCATTTCGGGTATCCATGGCAATAGAAGTCTTCCAAAGTAATCAGTAGCTTCTCTTGGTAGCTGTGCAGGTACATTATCAATGGAGCATATGAGAACACCATCACCAGCCATCCTGTATAAATGAATGTACGTACTAAATTTTTCACCTTATATTGTTAAAATAGCTAATTCAGAATAAGTTGAATTGTGTTGAAGATAGTGTGTAGCAAGACAGCAATGCATTGTTGTAGCCTCCTCCCCAACTCCTTTGGCCTTCCTTTGTAACTGTTAACTTGGCCACTAGGGACTAGTGATGAGAAATCTCCTCTGTTGCCCCCCATCCTCCCTCTTTTGACTACCCCAAAAAAAGACAGGGGGAAGCCTTCAATTCTTAGTGATGCCTGCAAAGGACTGAGGCTAGCATTGTTGGTTATTCTATGATCATTCAAGAGAAGTTTTCAGGCTTTGAGAGTGACTATAGCAGCTCCGTATAGTCAACAACTTTAATGGAAACTAATTAGGTTAGATATTGTTATTTCATAAAGAAGCTAAAAATTATGAAGTTTACTAGCAACAATGCATTGCATTCTTGGAATGCACTATACAGTTTTCAGTATTCAACGTTTTCTGAAATTACTGTATACACTTTAAACATTTTCATCTTTTTATTTTTTAGCAGGTCAGCCATCCAATTATTAAATTGTTACGTACCCTATTTGCGAAGAGCCAGTTTTGATGTCATAAAGATGAAATGGATATTCTATAGTTGTACACTCCGTCATGAACTCTAATGAACCCTAATACAAGATATTGCATAACAATAATTTGTTAACGTCATCGTTATAACTACATCTTGGGATCCCTGTGGTATTCTTTTGGCCTGAGACAAAAGGTCACTCCATAATATCAAAGGGCAGGGGTCCTCGGCGCCCCTTTTAGCGTTTGAAATCAGTATTTTGGTCCCGCTTAGGGTGATAATGACAAAAATTCCTACCAACTGAGTATTGTGGTCCCTTTTAGGGGTCATTTCCACAATCTCCGCCGAGGACCCCGCCCTTTGATATTAGGGATTCCCCCCCCCCCCCCCCCCCCCCCCGCCCCGCCGCTCCGGGCTCCCTTTGCCACTTAAGAAAAATGGAAAGGAACTGAGAGAAACAAATGGAGAGGAGAGAATTGATAAAATAGTGTTTACAGTGCACAAAATGTTAAGATTACACCATTTTAGAATTCAAAGCGAATATAACCGCTGTTTTATTTGACAGCAGATTCTCTTACGCAAAGAACTTACCAAAGACAAAAGAAAGCACGAAAAAATGTTGCTTGTACAATAGCGCTAATAATTTACATTTTCCACAAGTTGAAGCTAACCCTGTATTCCCAGAAGGATCATTCCTTATGTCTTATGGGAATACAGGGTTAGTCTCAACTCAGGGAAAATGCAAATTTTCAAGGCTATTGTTGTAATAACGACATTTTCTTATGTTCTCTTTTGTGTTTGGTCAGTTCTTTGCACAGAGAGAGAATCTGAGAGAATTTGAGAATCTGCTGTCACATAAATAAGCAGTTTTTCTCTATGAATGTAAATATAAAGTCTTTTATTTAAATAAAGTCTTTTATTTTGAGAGGGTAGCACGTAATAGTCTCTAGACTAATAAACTTGTGGCCCTGGCCTCTATATATTCACTCACACTCACTACCTCAACATTCATTATTTTACTACACGACACTCCTCATGTGAAATGTGAAATGTGAAATGTGAATGTGAAATGTGAAACTGGAGTATTTCATCTGTCACCTACATCTGGATCTGCAGAAATATCACCAATTGCAAGAAATCTGTGAGGTAGATTTGGACAGCCATCATAAGCACTAGTTCTGGCTAATGGCTTAAGAAGGTTTTTTGCATCGTCATTGGTTAACAGTCTTGGGTTTTCAGGTCCCCAGTATGTACCATTAATGAGGACAGACATATAAGGAGCAATCTGAAAGTGATTGTATTAAGTGGATATAAGAGAATGTAGCTGGTTTATTACAAAAGGAGGATGGAAAGAAGGGAAGGGAGGGAGAGAAGAGGATGGAAAAGAGGAATGAGGTAATAATTCCAGAGTTTTATTAATGAGAGGAGACATATTAGGAACAATTTGAAAGTTATAGTAAGTCATTAGGGGATGAGGGAAGGAGTGAGACAGGAGGGGGAGGTGGGGTGACCTACGTAGCACACAGTTGATGTAATGTATTCATAAAATGTATTGTATTCCATTCATGTTTCTCGTTCTATTGTATTATGTGTTTTGTATTATATCTTTATGAATATATTACATCAACTGAGTGCTACGTAGATTCTCCCAGGGGGAGATAGAAGGTTGAGCAGTAAGTATGGAAGGAGGGAAGGAAGAAGGGAGCAATTCCAGGATGCAGATTAGCTACTTACAGTTTCTGCAAAATTTGATCTGTATCTTTCCGGATGAGCTTCGTATTCAGCAGCGTCAAACTTCCCACCAGCTATAGGGACCAAGTAATCCTCTCTTCTTACAACTGTACCAACAAGCTTCCTATGATCTGAAATATAAATAATTATTTAAAGAAACTCAAACACTGGCCCAAGTACTAGACATAAATGACAGATTCTCTGGATACTTGCGGAATACAAGGACATATATACTGAATGTCGACACAGAGGATTTGAACAAGTCTCTATTAAGTTACCTCCACCCTCTACAGCTTTCTTCAAGTCATGGGGGTGTACATACACATGTGGCAATTCCTGAAATATCTCTTGGGCTCCCTGTGTTAAGTAACAAAAATTAATCAATTAAAGAATTTAATTAGAAAAGAAATAAAATATTCTAGATACTAACAAGCCTCAGACTGCAGGTCTGTCAGGATGACTCTTACGCCAGCCACATTATACATACTGTACATTGTAGGTCACTGGCATTTTGCAAGGAAACAAAAGAGGGAGGCTGGGAGCTAGGGAGAAACGGGAACCTATCCTAGTCACCCTAGTCCATAACAGTCAATATGACAATCACAAAGGAAGCCCAAAGAAAGAAAAAGAAGGGTTGTCAGTGGTAAGGATCCTTAGTTCAATTCGTAAAGACATACTTCTCTGAAGATGTAGCAATATAATGTAGCAATAAAATAATGTTTTAAATTTACTCTGATGGTTGCAGTAGCTCATAATTTTCACTGTAATTGCATAAATTTATACTTCTAGTATACAGCCTTTTAATAAGTCCCGAGATTTTGTGTTCTCTGCACTTGACGTCAAATTTATTCTTTTGAATTCCTTTTGTATTGTAAAAAATTTCAAAAGAATAAATTTGACGTCAAGTGCGGAGAATACAAAACCTGGGGACTTATTAAAAGGGTGTATATGTGACCCCTTCATGATCCCTTTCTGCCAACAGGAGAAAGTCAGTCTAATGACCCTTCAATAATTAATTAATAAGTCGTTTAATCAGGATAAATCTGAAAGAGCAATTATAATAACTTACCTGGGAAACATTTCCAGATCCAGTGAAGACAAATGACAGTGCACCAAAGTGCTTTGGAAGTTTTCCTGATTTGATGTCTTCTCCCAATTCATATGCGGCAAGCTTAGCAGCACGACTGCTCTTGTAGTTATGGGTTGAGCCCATGTACTATAATCATAAATTAAACATTTAAAAAATTAACAAAAATCACTGAAAATACAATTATTTTCTTCAAGAGTTTGAAGGAAAATCTAAGATAGCAAAATATGCAGGAATCCAGGTGTAATCTTCTCCTGTTCGTCCTAAACTACCAGGAATGAGGAAAGAACGACAAAAGATTATGTTTGGGTCCCTGCAGACAAGATACCAAGAGCCTGGGAGAAAGATTAGAGACTATGGAGATTTGGAATTGAAGCCAAAATCAGAATTTTCAAACTTGCTCTGAAATAAGCTAGCCTATGAGGTAGCCTATACAAAAAAGTTATTTTTAATATCATTCTTACCATGAAAGGTGTATGATGGCCTAAAGCAAGCAGCCTTAGACCAAGGCCATGGAGAGTATTTATCATTCCTAGAACATGTAACAGAAATAGAAATGATAAGCTGATGTTGTAATTAGAAATAAGCAATTCAATTCAAAATGAAGGTCTTTCAGGCCCCGTAGGCATTTTTATTTTTGCCAGCACCCCTGCAACCCTTCCCTTTCATTGCAAAAAGAAATGCCAAAAAATAAAAATAGATAAGGAAAACAAACAAAATGCACAAAATTATATGACAACAGAAGAGAAACAAAATGTGGGAAAGCAGAAGATAATCATTTATTGTGAAAGAAAGAGTTATGCATAAAATTTGAATAATTGCATACACACCCCCCACAACGCCTCCAGGCTCATGACACGCTAGATAGTTCTAGACATGAATCTAGACATTATTTCCTAGGAACCATACATACCTCCAACTCCAGCAAATTTACCAAAAGCACAAACTCTTCTGCCCTTTTCATCGACCATTTTTTCGTAGTCTATTATACGAATATTCTAGGAGAAAAAATTATTTTAGTTTTTTTGTTTGTTTGTTTGTCTGGTTTTTTTTTTAGTTACGAGAAACGTCGTCATAAAAGAAAGTTATATTTCCGGTATTGAAAACTTGATAATATCGCTATTTTAATCGACTTGGCAATTGAAATTGCGAAATATAATTCTAAACCGTTCAATTGTTGTTGTGTACAATGAAACAAAAGCAAAACTAATTCTATGAACAATATCTATTTTACTATCCGCTTAGTGTGCTAGCCTGTGTGGCTTAAATGTGTCGCACATGTTATCACGCCATTATAGCACGTGTAGGTCCAAAATAAGGAGTAATTCCTACATCAATTATAACATTGACTTCATAATATTAAAAACCATATTCTTACGCTTTAAACGATTCTTACTAACTCAATATTGATCTAGAAAATCTTGATTAAGTTTACATTTCTTCTCGGTAAGTTTGACGTACTTATAGAGAACGGCCGGCTGAGGTAACCAGGAGATAACGGTGATATTTTACCTTATACAGAGTTAATAAACCTACCTTTTCTAACATGGCATCCATTAGAGGCATATTAGCTTCCTGGGCCTTGATAGTATGAGAAAAAAAAGCATATGTCTTGTTCGGAATAAGGAGATCAATAGGAACAGACTTGACACCAATGATGAGCGATGCCGATGTTAGATCTTCAGAAATAGTAGCTCCAGCTCGTTCATACTCATCCATAGTGTACGCTCGCCTCGTAGATGGCTGAACTAACACTTTGATTCCTTTGTTTACGAGTTCAGAAACGTGAGCCGGTGATATGGGTGACCTTCTTTCCCAGACGTTGATATCTTCGCGCCGAATGGCCATGATGCGTTCGCCATGGTCTGAACCAAAAGTTCTGCTATTTCTGTACGAAGAAAAGCTGTAATTCAATATCTGTTTACTATTTGTATAGCCTCGAACCCTCCACATGATGGAAATCTAAACAGCCTGTCAATAAAATTGTTAAAAATGCACAGAACCGTATTTTACACGTCTTTGAAAAAAATCAATAATTAGAATCGCAGACAAGGTGATGGGTACCCTGTGTTAAATTTTCATTGAAGCTTCTGTACGTGGACCAAAAAGATTTAGGAAAGAGAATTAACAAGAAACTGAGTGGATTTAATATCTTTTTTAAAGTTCAAATGCAGAAATACGAAGTCCTTATCCATGAGACCAGTAAATCACCTTGAAATTTTCGGTCAAACTTGGGCCTACTGTCTTATCACCCAGTCTCTGTCGCTACTTCGTGAGGAACGCCTGTTGTTTTTATACTCATGAATTTTCCATTCACCCGGGGCATTCACGGATGAAAGAGTTGAATAGAAAATTTGCTCCAGTTATTGTCAGTATTTCTACTAATTTTTGGTAGCTTTCGATTTATCTTCTGCTTACAATTCTCTTACCGTCTATTTCAAACATTTGAGGATCGAAGTAGAGATTTTTTGGAGGTGTCCTTCAAGTAAGTCAATGTGTTTTGTCTCATGTCTGCATTTTGAAACAGTCGTTTGCAGTTACCTTGCTTTGAGTCTGATTTAGCTCGATTACTTTTCGATAAATTCGTATTTAAGCTTTATTTTTTAGACGTTGATTTAAGGAAACGAAAAATTGCCATTCGGCACCGGTTGCTATACATAATATTGTTGTAATAGTACCACTAATTTCATGTCTTAAAATCCAAGATGAGTGTCGCTGTTTGGACAACGTAAGTCTTATTAAAACACGAAGAATGTGTGCAAGTAAACGAGGCTATGTCCAATGTTTTTGTATAAATTCAAAGGAAATGAAGGTGAATTTATGTGCTAGACGCTGTCACGGCGTTATGATCGTCTTTGTCTCCAGTTATGCTTATAAATTATTCATATTTCAGATAAAACATCGTACATGAACAGCAGATAAACAAATAACATATAACATTATTTCTCGCCGATGCTTTGATTCTCTAAAAACGCCCAGAAATATCAGAAAAAATCATATGATTGTTCAATAACATTTCCCCTTTGAGAGAAAATATTTCTTTCTTGTTTTAACAGTGAATCTAATTATATTTGGTATTTGAAAACCTTTGTACTCATACAATGTAACTTGATTGCATTCAGCTATCAAGCTCAATTGAACTTGAACACACTTTACGCTGTCTCAGGTTGTCAATTTAGGATTTGATAAAATACTTTCAAGCAGTAAAATGTATGATTGTTTGTTACAGCTTGCTATACAGGGCAATGGATGACATATGGATAGAATACAAGTGTAAATCAGGACAGACTTTGTTTATATACAACAAACTGACAGGAGAACACAAGTGGACTTCTGAAGAGAAAAATGTATGTTTTTGTTACTCCTGATATCATGAATGAGAAACTGAATCGGTACCTGACCAACCAAGTCATTATGTAGGAATGGTTTTATATACATGTAAAATAGAGGTCTTGATAAATATCTGTCATTTGTTATTGAGGAATTCATTTGTTGTGGTAAAAGTAACTTGAATTGATGGATTGTCTCACTGCCTGATTGATTAATTGTATGATTGATTGATTGATTGATTGACTTTGCTGATTGATCGATTGACTCGCTGATTGATCGATTGACTCGCTGATTGATTGATTAATTGATTGATTCACTTACTCACTTACTGATTAATTGATTGGTTGGTTGATTGCTTAATTAATGAATATTATCATTAATGTGAAATGTTAATGCCTAATTTTAGAAATCAGTAACATTTAAAGAGTTCCGTTGCATTGCCATCCAGACAGATGACTCTTCATGCAACAATGGCTGTACTTCCATGTACATCAACCAAGATTCAAATGACAAGATTGGAGCATACAGTTCCAAAACTGCTGAGCTCTCACCTCAACTCAGGATGGATGATTTACAAGAAGATGATATAGAGAGAATACCTCCTGAAAGTAGTCTACAATACGCTATGGAACATGATGATACGTCAGGCATTTACGAAGTATCAGTGGGAGATGTTGTTGAAGAATTACATGTTGAATATCCTTCAGATAGCAATGCAGAAGAAGAAGATAGCTTTTCAGATGGCATAGGAAGTGAAACTGAATACTACCCAGAAGCAAAAATCATTAAAACTGAAAACAGTGATCCAAGCACATCAATAAGGCTGCGTACAAGGACCACATCAGCTAGAAAAATAACAGTAGACATGACTGATGATAATTCTACGGAAATGCAATCTTATGACAACTCAAAAGATAAATACATTGATCCTGCCCTTCGCATTAAGCGGTTTTACAAGTGTTCCTACTGTAAAAAGCAATTTGACTCAAAAGGGAAGCTTGACGACCATATTCGAACTCACACAGGCGAAAAGCCGTTTGGTTGTATATATTGTGACAGGAATTTTTCAAAAAAGTGCAATTTACAACGGCATCTCAGAAGGCACACAGGAGAGAGGAACTATATTTGTAATCTTTGCGACAAGAAGTTCATCGACAGCGCTGAGCTACAGCGTCATATGATATCGCACACTGGGGAGAGGGCTTTTGAATGTCCTTACTGCGAGAAGAAATTTGCACAGAAGAACACTTTGACTTGTCATCTTAGAAGACATACGGGAATTGGACGATCCTTTGACTGCTCTGTTTGCGGACGACAATTTGAACACAGGTCAGATTTGCGACGCCATAAACGAACCCACACCGGAGAAAAGCCCTATGGCTGTACATATTGCGATAAAAAGTTCCCTACTAAGTATAGCTTAAACCGACATATCAGGTCGCACACAGGGGAGAAGCCCTTTCAGTGTACAATTTGTGAAAAGAAGTTTTCAGAGAAGAAAAATCTAGAATATCATATGACAATTCATACCAAAGAGAAGCGATTTGAATGCGGACGATGTGGAAAGAAGTTTGCAAGAAAAGCGTACACGGATTATCATTACAGGACGTGTTCTGGAGAAAAGACTTTGGATAATTTGGATGAGAGTATAACAGAAGAAACATTTAAAACATCTGAAGAAAACGTCGAAGCACCCGACCAATTCATAGCTTAGCTTCGTATGCCAAGGAGTACGAAAAAATCACTTTGCACTTTGCTCTGCTAAACCTGTCTCGATACAAAAGAAAGGAAAATAGTGTTTTCTGAAACAGCAAAAATGTTGCGAGACAAGAGGGGTTATTTCTGCGCCTTTATGCCGGTCGTATTGGAATTTTTGTTGCTCTTTCAGTTGTTGTTGTTGCTGTTGGGTTTTTTTTTCTGTCTTTTTTCGAGAGCAGTCATTATTTTAACATCAACTATCTTTGGGCGTCTTCGACTCCTTCTTAGCCGATATTAAAAGTGCGAACGGCTGCTAAGGAGTCCGGAACGGTCTCTTATAACAAACTATTTAAGAACATTATTTATAAGTTTGTATGAATCCTTAGACTATGCGTCAGTGGAAAATATTTAATTGTTGTTTTTCTTCTTCATATTTAAGTATATTCGGTACAAGAATAATCTGGTCATCTTACATGCAAAGTACGAACAACGTAAATTTACGTGACTGTAAAATGGTCTTTGTTGAATAGCTGTACTAAAATGTCGTCTTCGCCAAATAGAACTGCGAATGTATATCAGTGTTTCTTGGGTTTTACGATCCACATAGTTCAAAAATGAACCACCATTTCTCGTCTAAAAGCGGGTTTATTTGGGTAAATTCCTTGTGTTTCATTCCAGCTTGTTAGAATTAAAATGAGGATTAAAGAGAAAGCCGTTTTATTGAATCTCTTTATGCTATAATGAACTTCACTTCAGTGTCTTTTTTATATGCGGCTTAGCGATCATGCAAGTCGGGCCAACGCAATTGGAAAGTACAACTTCAAATTTAAAAAGATTAAGTGCAATTTGGGATGTCTGTGAAGCGTAGTTCTTGCCATGTATAGCTTCAGTTAAAGTCGCTCAATTGAAGGTAAAAAATAAGATCCACGCTGAGAGCTACTTTAAAGTACCGGCTCATCGTGTCGGAATGGCTAAATGGATGAAATTACAATAATAAAAAATAGTTACTAAATGAAAGGATTAGTGAATGAAAGAAAATAGATAAAATGCGGGTTGAATGGCAAATGGTGTTTGTAAATAAAGTAAATGAGATTAAGAATTATGGCCAAATAAATGAAATAAACAAAAACAATTTTTTTTCCTCTACTAGAACAGTTTGATTTATTTTTATACTGCGTCAATCACTACATTAGAATTAATACTCTGACAATCAAACTCCGACATCCTGGCGTGATTGGCACAGCTTGGCCAAAACTTTATCCGCCTCGGCAGGGAAGATGTCGAGAATGTATCGGATCGCGTTTGATCGACAGTTTCCATGGTAGCCGTTTCTCAGACACTGGTACTTGTATGGGATGTTCTTGCAGAGATTCTGATCTGTGCGCATGCGTTTTGCATACTCTCGTACGCACCTTCTGTCAAGTTCACTGGTACATTTGAAAAGATGGGAGTGTCCATAGTATGGTTTCACTGTAAGATACGATGTATTCAGAAGATGGAAGAAGAATGATGTTAATAAATAACTGCAGCAGGCTACCTCAACCGCGATCCCTGTGAAAGAGGTTGGGTTACCTCTCTTTTTTCGCGTGCAATTTCAGGAATAAGGATTTCAGTTTGCGCAAGCAATTATACCGATTGCAACTCCGCTGTTGCAATAACAACCAAATCGTTTCGCGAAAGGTTAACAGTAAATGTTATTGTGCCAACGCTTTCGTTTATCAACGTAAATAGATTACGTTTTTCTTTTTTAAATTCAAAATCCACAGAGACTTCTAAAGGCCGTGTCACACTGGCGTTTTTTTCGTGCAACTTGTGTCGCGCAAAAAAATGTTGAAGTTGCACGAGCGTTTTTTTCCCCTCATGCAACTTGAACATTTCATTTTTTTGTTGAGAGAAAAGTAGAACTGGCTTCTACTTTTTTCAACATTTTTCAGAAAAACGCGTGTGTGACATGGTCTCTTGCAACTTCCAAATTTTTCAATTAGGCGCACGAACCCATAATAAAGCGAGAATCTGTCCTGTTGTCACTTGTTGTAATAATCAACAAAGATGCCCGACGCCATCTTTGGCGAAAGCGATAATTTTGAAGAAGAAAACGAGACAGAAAGTGAGATGATCATACATTTTCAATTTACGCGTGCAACTTGAACATTTTTTTGTGCGAGCTAAGTTGCAACGGAATTTTGCTAGTGTGACAAGGCATCGTGCAACTTCAACATTTTTTTGCGCGACTCAAGTTGCACGAAAAAAACGCCAGTGTGACACGGCCTTAAACCTGGCTCCCTCAGTTTACTATAACAGGAAATTGAAAGCAAGCAATTGACATTAACTTCTTTCACTTACTCTTGATTTTGTTCAAACGCTCAATCTTCTTTTTCCAATCTTTTTTCGCCTGTGATGTCTGACATACTGTTAATCATAAGAAGAAGAATAAAAACTGACGAAATTAAGCACTACTTTGRGGAAAAACCGACACAGATCCTTGTGAAGAAAGAAAAGTGAGAAAAATGTTCATAATGTTGAAGAAGAAAAGTGAAAATGAGAGAAAAAGCGAAGAGGGGCTGAAAGGGAAGAAGTACAGACCTTGGACAAAACATCGTCGGACATGTTGGCGTATAATCTTCAATAGATTTGCTATACTCGTTTAGGCAAGTACGTACCTTTATCGAGTTTCTTGAGTAATGGTTTGTACGGAAAGCGGTCGCATACTTTAATCTTTTTCTCGAATAATATGTACGAAACTGCTGCTTTGGCCAGAGATACGAGTGTCGGTCCAGAGTCTTTCTTTAGATATCTTTGGACACATTTACCAAGTTCCTTCCCGTCAAAGAAAATAATGAAAATTCCCCGATTAATCAAGTAACATTTCTCTCCTTTTTTCTTTCTTTCTTTTTAGTTGTCATTTCTTTTTCTTTCATTTTCTTTAAGAACTACCTACCCCATCAAGATGGCAGTGAAGCTGTAAATCGTCCCATGAACTGTATTTTGGATCAGCAAAGCCTGTGGCATACTCTATAACGCATTTTTGGACTGCGGCATCATCGTCCTTGCAAGAGCATATTCCTGGAGTGATCATCAGAAAGGCCAAAACAACAGAGACCACAACGTGCAACATTATCAAAGTAGTTTCTGAAAGGAAAGATGGATGACATTATTCTAAATGTAATTGGTATAATTTTGATTGAGGGAAAAATAAGTAATCATGAAAAAATAGCTCCTATATGAACATTTGCAGGATTTTAAAGTATTTTTTCTCAGTTATCACACCTAAGGACTACAGGATGTAAGCCATGTAATGCTGCATCGTGTTCAATTTCTAAGTGTAAAAAAAGCAAAAGATTTTGTAATGTGGAAGAAAGAGAAGCTAAAAACATTGAGAAAATAAATGAGAAAAACTAAATGAGAAAAACTAAATGTTCATAATGCTAAAGAAGAAAACTGAAAATGAGAGCAAAAATTTTTAAAGTGGCTGAAAGAAAGAAGAAGAAAAAAGAAACTGAAACAGCAAAAGAATTCAGTTGAGTTAGAAATTAAATAGAAGAAGGTAATGCTAGAAGGATAATTTTCTTGAACAGGATGCTAGTAAAGAAGAAGATGACGCCAAAGAAGAAAGTAAAATTGCATGATCGTGTAGAACTAATAGACTCTAATAGATCCATTCAAACACCATGTGCATTGGCAAATTTGATGGCATTTAATTTTCAGGCTAATATAATATGTTAACTGAATTAACAGGCTTGGCAGAGAAAAGTTAAAACAGAAAAAAAACTCACCAACGTCCAGTGATTGCTTCTACTTCTCATATGACGACCTTGTTTGAACACCAAACGTTATTGACCGTTTTTTAAGTTATCTTGAAATGTTTACTTATGTGTGCGAAACCAGCAGGTGTCATGCAGCAAGTACAATTAAGACTTCCCTAGGTCTAAATAAACTTTGTATTTGTTTACATTTAGAACCGTTATCAATAAAAGAGATAAACAAATATATTCTAGTGATATCTCGTTAAAACTGACATTTTGTTAAAAAGGGTTTTGTACTGTCTGAGATATGTACCGAGGATGGTAAAGTTGTCCAGATATTATCGACAAATGACGTAACGGTGTTGACGTTTTATTGTAACTGCTTTTTCTCTTTTTGGCATTCAATTTTGTTTTATTTGCCCTCTTCAGTTGGAGATATATAGTTATTAGGGTAGAGTAGCGCTGTAAAATTGTCGACATATATTATTAAAATGTATGTAATATTTTTTAATGAAAACAATTGCAATTGCATTATTTATTATATATTTTTGATTTATAGCACACGGTGAAATTTATTTGCGGTGTTTATCGCTATGCTGCTTTGTAATCTCTTTGTAGATTGCAAGCTAGCGACAGGAAGTACGAAACGGCTGCAGAAATCAAGCTTTCATAATAATCCCTTCAGTTATGTCCACACTCTCTAGGTTGTATAATACCTTTACTGCTTCGTCTTTAACTTGATATAAAGATTACCTCCTCGCCCATGACTTTAGAAGGCTCGCTTCTCAGCTCTGACTCTCCAGAACTTCCATGGAAAACGAAGTTCGACATCAGTAAAAGGTTTTAATGAATAGACACGACCCACCGTTAGCGCCTGCATGTTGTTCGTTTATCAGGAAATAATTTCAAAGTGCTTATTTCTACTAGACTAATAATGACTAAATACATCGAAGGCATGTATTATAAAGGAAATTACAAGGGAAAGACCTTCTGACTTGTGCTGGTGTCCCGTTTACGACTAGATAATATATTCTGATTTAAAGCAAATATAAAAAAGATTGGCTAATGTGTTCAGCTCAAAATGTTTTCTCTTGGGATCGCCGCTAAGGCAGCTCCGCGTGCTGAGCTCATTAGCTCATATTGTCCCGCTATACTACCAATCTAGAAACAGCTGCACAGGAAGAAAGGGCTGCACAAGTGGCTGAGTCTATTAGAGTTAGAAAATCAAATCAGTTAAAGGGAAAGTGGAACCTAATCGACTTTGAGCGAAATATCATGATATTATCATGACTTGTGAGGAAGCTTAGATTCTTGATGACATTTTTATGAAAAATATGAAGGACATTTTTAAATTTATGCATTGCAAGTTTAATAAAGTGTAGCTCTTAAAATACAGGCGGAATGACTTATCGCTGTGAAAAATCTTTTTTTTTTTTTACTTTTTACAAGAACAAATTGTTCGTTAATGTTGAACTTATTTCGTACTAAAAAAAGGTCTTATTATTTGCTTTCTTAAATCATAATGTCGTCTTTAGTTTTAATTGAGGTGCATGTCAGTCAAAGAGCTCTGTCACTCATAAAAGCAGTCAGGTTATCTAAGCTACTTAGCAGAGTTGCCCGAGCAAACGCTCTAAAAACGTCATGCTATCATCCAGTGTTTATTTCTTCTTCTCGCTTACTTTTCCTGTATTCACATGTTATATTTACCTCTTTATCGACAGGACACGAGATAAGACACTTATCTCGACTCTTAAACAACCGTCGTTAGATGTTAAGCGCGAAATATTGATCTTTCTTGATGATTGAATAGCAAATAATGAGACAAGAACCTAAACAATCTAATGAGAATCCGTTTTAGATTTTTTGAAGTGCTTTCCTCATCTTCCTGTATTTCTACGTACTTGAGTACTAAATTTTCCTCTTTCTATATAAAAATGTTAACAACAAGATGCCAAACAAATGTATTATCAAAATGCTTTGCTCAATTTACAAAAATGTACATTTATATATTTTATAAAGATCAGTAATATATAATTGATGATACGACGGTCATTTCACGCCATTGCTTTGGCTTTTCTTCGGGTGTACTTGTCACGTGACATGTCCAGAGCATTGGTACAGATATTTTGATGAATTGACAGGAAGAGAGGTAGATACGCCATGTAATCAAGAAATGAAATCTGTAAACAGGAAATACGTCATCATTTGTAAAGAAAGTCACATACCGTTTAAATTGCCTTAACAGATGACTAAAGATTCCATTTAAACAACCAGCAAATCAAACAACGATTTAATCAACCAACCAACCAAACAACCATTCAACCAAACAATCGACCAACCATTTAATCAACCAACCAATCAACCAACTATTAACCATTTAATCAATCAACCAACCAACGAACTAGCCAACCGACCAACCAACCAACCAACCACTTTCAACCAACTAACCAACCAACTAACCAACCAACCAGCCAACCAACCAGCCAACTGTAGTGTTTTGTGTGGTCGATGGATCTGGATACAACTAAACTAGAATAACATACATGTACCGGTAGCCATCTTAGATAATACACCTCCCGTCACGTGACTTCTTTATTAACACAGCTATCCCGACACCAACCAACCAACCAACCAATATTTCATCCATACCTGTCCATTTTTGGCTGACTGGGTGATATGCTTGATCACATGATCCTCTTGTTGTTGGTTTAGCCCTCCAGCTTTCAGCTCTATCCGAAGATCACCAGGTTTAATGAAAGTTACAGAACGATCACCGGCCACGTAAAACATGTTCTGAAAAAGATGACATTTCAATAAGTTAGAATACTTATTGAAAGACTTTTTCATGAATTGCACTTTYTACCTTGTAAAGATCTAGTTTCCATTCTGTCTCTGTGAGATCAAGTCCATCTACTATGTCTCTTACAAACGGGCTGAATATGAAAACAAGAAATATATACTATAATAATCTTGAGATGACATGCGTAGTCTTGTGAATTATGGACGAAATTCACTTCAATTCAATTTTATTCGACGAATCATAAAAACATAAATACAAAATAAGCAAAGTATTTTATTGTCGATTAATAGACACTAAAAGACAGAAAAATGAGCCTTTGTCGTTTTGCGTTCAGTACTGTTCTATCTGGACAAGTCTDGAACTGAAGGGCAGAGCTTAAAGAGTGTCTTATCAAGCTTTCTCTGTCGCTTCTCTTGTCACTTTTCCTGTTCGACCCCCTTTGATTACTGAATGGATTACCGAAAAGCCTMTTTTTTCTACTTCTTTCCACCTATAAATTCGGAGTTCTGTGAARCARCACTCAATAATTTAGTGTTTTTTTTCCTTAGTGAACTCGTCACTTTTCAACTTCCTCAATCGCTGCTGTTACTTATCAGAGCATGACAAGGTACTAATGATAACGATTGTGGATTTTCAACTTACTCCAAAGAAGTGACTTTCTCGCAGAGAGCTGTAATGACGGCGAACATTTTGAAGCTTATTCGTGAGAATGTATCGATTTCCAGAACCTGTTGAGAGTCATTGAAAAAAGTGTGTGTCTTTTTAATTTGAAGTGGGAAGATTAGGCAGAATGAAGAAGGGAGAGAAAACAGTCGTAAGATATAGCATCAAAGAAAAATTGAATAAGAACATGAATAACCAGACGATGAAGTTCAATGAGGAGAAAGCAATGGAAATTATAATTTCTTTATCTCAAATAAAGATGATAAAAACATGACTTCTGAAGATGTTAAAAGCGAGCTACTTTTATCAAGTTCCCTAGCAACTAGTTTATCAAAATATTCTACCCATGAAAGCATATTGTATGTTAATTAATTTTGAAGTGGTGTCATGTTGTTCTGAAAAGAAAAGGAACAMTAGATGGTCGCGACGTGAAACGCCTCCTTCGCTACCTCTAAAGTTATATTTTCATTCTTGTCATTTTCCATTGATGRTTTGAAAGCTATTTATATGAAATTGTGCAGAYACAGCGATTCAAATTCTAGAACGGTCTGCTTCCCATGGTTTAAAGACATAGGGGCTAATGGGCTGGCAAAGCTTTTTACGCATWTTGATCGTGTATTGTCGACATGTACCAATGTACAAGCGATTAGCCAAGAGCTCCAATATGGCGAACGGATTTCCTTAATGGTAAAAATCTGTTGTGGTTCCCTTTACTTGTGAATTATAATTGATTATGTATGTAAATGCAACAATTAACGGCCGTGTTTTAGCAAGAACATTTTCATTTACATAGAGGCGTCAGGATAAACAGAGAAACAAAAGTTATATGTCGATATGATAGTACTGGTGAAGAAGGCATTTGGAGTACTGGTTCTCTAATCAGCACAGAATTGTTTCTAAGATTTAAGGAAGTCATATCAATTAGAAGCAATAGTTGGAKTTAGGATTTACATTTAAGCTGTAAACCTCTTTAAGGATCTTGAGAGTGACAGGTTGYACGGCTTCAAAGCATCRATCAACATTCAATGCCTGATTCAAGACGATTCAATGTAGTTTGAAGAACAAGCTCTCCAAAATCCTAAATTCGATTCAAAGAAAAAGAATAATTCTAAAGCTAGCCTTAATCCTATAAGAAATGGATGGTACGCCGCCTCTTAAACACCCCAGTGYAAGATTAAACTCAAAGACAGAATCAGAAACAACTTGGTCGAGTTTACAAAGACGAAATGGCTGTATGAAAGTGAGTGATCCCTWCTATGGMAAACGAAAACAATCGGCAACATTGAAGCGAATTCAGCGAAAAATACAGCTGTCRAATCAAAATAAAACAGCTATGGGTGATTTAGAAAGTACTCACRAATTAAGAAATGGTAAAGAAAGTYTGGATGACATAACTGAAAAAGAGCAAAATGCTGCCAAAATCAATTATGATAATTTTGTGAAGAAAAGTGAACAGCAAYTSGATGTTATGAAGACTTYTTTGTCAGCACCRACTGAAGACGAGGCAGTGAATTTATGGCTGACACAAGAGGAACTTTTATCTATATTCTATCGATGTTTATAACGTGGAAAAACTACAATATGTACAATATAAAATTATGTTTACTCAAAGAACAGGGAAATCTAAACAATATGTGTATATACAAGAAAGCATAAATTACTGCAGCTGAAAGTTCTCCAAAAGATACGCGAGGACAAAAATCCGTTGAAATAAAAGGTGATATTAGAAATATAGCAAATATTATTGTTAATTGAAAAACGTATTGTAATAATTGATAAAAGTGTAMGTGACTTTATCTCACGACAAAGGATAAAACGTTACTCAAACAATTTAATTTTACTCAGCTGATTTGCGTTTTCTTTCTTCCGCTTTTTTTTTTTTGTATATTTTTATCAACATTTTTTTCTTGTTGAAAATTGACATGACATAATAAGCCGGAAAAGCAAGAATATTGTATAGTTATTGTGGTTATTGAACCCCCATAAATAACATATCCATGTCAACGACAAAAACGCACCCACACAAAAACACTAAATTTYAATATTTATTAAAAGCTTGAATTGTAATAATAATAATCATAAAAATAATTAGTACTTTTATGTACCAACTATGACAAGATAATTGTCGTTGTTATGGTGATCTGAATAAACGAAAAATATTGCTTATTATAAGATGACAGTTTGAAATGTTTCCTACGTCAGTGAAGAGTACAACGAATGTCATGTTTTGAATGCAAAGATCAATATCGATGTGATAGCTGTAATCAAGAAATAATATCTGACACTCCGCGTTTTTCAACGAGCCAAATAATAAAAAAAATTAAAGAGCAATCAATGAGATTTCATAGTAAATAGATGAAAAGTATATGTTTAAAAATAAAGAGAAAAATAGTTAAAAAGCGCGTTACCTGCAGAACGTAGTTGAGCTGGTGTCTTGACATTCCCTGAATGGTGGGTACCCCCTCTAAGGCCAATAACATTTTCTAATGAAGAAAAAAAAAGAGACAAAATAATTGGATGAAAGGGAATATACCCAGATGCATTCAAATAGGCTTGGTTTCCCAGATGCGACTCAAGTCGCTGGTGAGTCTAGACCTCCGTACCGTTTACCGCCTCCCGAGACCCTGTCCCGTTGAAACCGCTTCAATCGTTTTGCAATGTCTTTATTACAATTTTTTCTATTGTGCCATCCCTCCATGAGTGTTCTGCACCCACCCCTGTGTCCAATTGAAAAAATAACATCGTTACCTCATACGATATGATTCCCTTTTCGGCATCGTCTTCAAGAGCGAAAGCTCGCCCGTACACCTCGACTTTTGAACGGTCGACTAGTCGGTACTGCGCCAGGTAGTCGATTGTGGAATCTAAAAGCATAAGATGTAATTTCATCACACATGATAAGGAAAAACACAGTCACTAAGAAAACAACTATTTTTGGAATGAGTTAAATACATTTATAAGTTAGAATATTTTATTGCTTCTCAGAAAAATATAAACTTTCTTTACACTTTACACTTAAAAAAGTGGAATGTCATTATGTCATTAATTCTTCAAACAAATAACTAGTTTTTTTAAGAATGATTTTAATCTAAATATTTTTCTTTTTTTGGTTTGGGTAAAGATTTGAATTGGGAAAAAAATATCAAAAAAATGTAAAATTGATGATAAAAACAACAACAAACAACAACAACTTATCCTTTCCATATTTTTGCTGTATTCAACTAAAATTTTCCATTCATGAGACCTACCTCGCCTCACCCTGACATCTGCTTCAGCAATCACGTTGCTCAAGGCCTCTCTGTTGAATAAAAGATTTAGAAATTTTTTAATTGCTTTTAGCTGTATACTTTTGATGAGGTGCGTTAGAAAAAATGATTAATTAATCCTTACTTTAGCATTGTCTGTAGCCGTTTGTTTAGCTCAACTCTTTCTTTATAAGCTGCGTTGACTCTCTGTACGCCGCGAACTGAAACAAAATAGGGTAGATGATGCAGGATTTTTGAAATTCAGAAAGGAAAGCCATAGACATGGGATTGAGGGAGCTTTTTGTCACTTAGGCACAATGAACGCAAGATAGAGTCTCATGTCCGTTTTGTTATTTTAGCGCAAATTACCAACCACTTATATCATCCGTGGAGTCAATCCCCCAAATACTTACGTTTAGGTTTAGGGATCTGCGGTTTTGATTTCTCCCTCTGAATATTTTCAGCTTTTTTCTCCTCTTTCTCCACTTTTTCTTCTGCCTCCTTACTTGCTTCTTCAGCTTCACMTKGACTTGCTTGGACTTTATCTTCCAATTCTGTATTTTGGGTTTCCTGTGGTAGTTCTTCCTGAGCAGCAGACTGGRCCTCAATGTTTTCAGGTTCGTCCCCATTCTCCTGTTTTTCGTCGTCCAATTCCTYGTTGACTTCATMAATAGACGTTTCTTTTGAMAGAGAYTTGTTTGACTGRTTTTTGTAAATTACAGTTTCAGAAACAACTTGTCTSGACRACTTGAATTTCTTTTTGGATTTGGTGTGCTTTGATTTTTGGGGTTTGTTGACTGTGACTTCATTTGTCTCATTATGCAATTCYTCYTGCATGTCCTCGTTGACGCTGTATTCTTCCTACAAATATGAAGTGTCACATTACAAGTTTGAGATACTCTAGGCAAGCTTTTCTGGGCATTTAATGTCTTCTGTATTTGAATCAAAATGAGTAAGGATGCTAAATCACAAAATCAATGTCCRGGCAAAATACCAATGCTAATAACAAAAGAAAGTTCACAAGAAATTGAGTGAGTGAATGAGTGAGTGACACATTAACATAACCAACTCCTCTTCAGATGTCGAAAAAGATTGTCCGACACTCTATACATACATTAGAAGAGTTCACAATGGTAGACGTTTCTTCAATTATAGCTGTGTCRGTACTATCCAGTGTTGACGTTCGATGYCTGTTCATCAGTCTTCCTTTTGAATTTCCGATCTTCTGTTTTTTCTGGATTGGTCTCCTATGTTATGGAATATAATACAATAAAGTCAATATACTGTGGACTGTTGTACGTAAGGCGAATAGCGCTATCCACAAGAAAAAGATATGCATCTTCTTGCAATAATGGTTAAAAATGCTTGTCCACAAAATTGTTTTTCATTTTTCTTCACATATCGTCATTTACTTTTTTCATTTTCTCAAAAGCAATTAAAGTATTGTCTCACCTCGGCCTCCTTCCTGGTAATTTAGCAGTGTTTGCTCCCTATAAGTTGTCATAAAAAAACAATTAACGTTTGCCTCAAGACACAAACTGAACAACCGAATTAAAGAAAATAAGAAATTGAATTTTGAGATAGAATGACTCTTGAGCAGCTTGCAGTCCAAGGACTAAAAAACATCCATCAGCCAATGTGATACAAACCACTTACGACAACCAGCTAGCACCACAGATAGGAAGTTTAAAAAAGTTGCACYATGTTTAACTAACCTCATACGAAATAGAGCCTTCTATTGACGTAGGTCCAGAGCCAAAACCATCTTCGTTTCCTGAAAAATAAAGAGACGCTAGTTATTTGCGCGCATAGCAATTCAGCGGTAATCAAACAAGCTCCATGCGCGCATTGAATTGCGCCGTTCTAACTTTTAGTCAGTCAACATACTTAAATGTTTAAAAAGTTTTAAATTTAGTTTGGAATGAAATTCATCCATATTCTTTTTTTTTTTTTAATTAAACGTATATTGTCCTATCATTGATTCCTTTCCATGCTAAATTTATTTAGCCCAGGTCGAAGTTTTGTTAGATGATGTCTTGGTATAATTATTACATTAATCAATCCCTTCATAACCATTCCTTCGATAGCTCAGTTGGCAGAGCGGGGGACTGTAGAAGCAAAGCTGTTATCCCTAGGTCGCTGGTTCAAATCCGGCTCGAAGGACATATTCTTTTATTTCCTTTCTTTTATATTGTATATTCAAGTTCACAAATAATGTCTTCTTGGACAATACAAGAATGAAACATATTTAAACATATTTAAACATTTTTTTACCAGAATGTTTGTTGATAGATTGGACATTGACTTAATTTGTCACTAGTGAATGTCAAACGTATAATCTTAAAAATTGTAAGCTTTGAAAAATCAATTCATATACCATATACTAAACTAGTATTTTATCAATTCTGATAATAAAATTAGTTACAGTGCCATGGCTTTGATAACGTTTACAACTGTCCAACAAGTACGTTTTGTTTACTCTCCAGCTGTGAAATCTCCATGGAAACAATGTTTAGTACCTGTCATTCATCARTACTGACACCTGTCAATCATCAGGTGCTTGTGAAAACAACGTAACAAAACCGAAAAATTTCAATTTTTATTTCATGTGAGGCTCAGTGGTCTAGTGGTATGATTCTCGCTTTGGGTGCGAGAGGCCACGGGTTCGATTCCCGTCTGARCCCCTTAYAATTATTTTTTTCTTCATTCTAGCTCTCTAGAAATGTATCATATTTCCATAATTATAACAAAATTGAAAGACAATTTTAGCTACAAATCTTTGAAATGTAAAATTATAACTTCTTTTAGATTGTTTGCATAAAAGATCACTGAAAAAACAATGAATATTTTGGTTGGTAACTTAGTGCTATGGTAACAACAACGAAAACCATAAAATCATATTTTTTTCGTAGTTTAAGGGAATATGGCAATGGCGAAATTTTCCAATATTATCAAAGTGATTAATAAAGTTGAAATGGTGGTCGTATATGGCATGTTTTTAAGCCAATATTAAAAACTGAGTTACCTCCATCGTTGGATTCATTTCCATAATCAACCTCGGACAGCACACCTACAAATATAAGATAAATATGAGTTAAAAGATGTTAAGGAAAGACGGGTTTGTAACAAAGAACGAAAAAATAAAGGTATGTGCTAGAATAAAATGAGTCTTATTTCGGGCTCAGACGGGAATCGAACCCGTGGCCTCTCGCACCCAAAGCGAGAATCATACCACTASACCACTGAGCCTCAGATATGARAATCCTGCGAAAAATTACAAGTAGATTGTTAAAGTCCCTAGACAAGATTGCGATTTATTCGCGCTTAGTCAAAACATTGAACAAAACGTATGGCATTGGAATATAGCAAGCTACCACTTCAAAACTCGCACTTTGAAAAGTGCGCTAAAAATAAAAGTATTGTAGTTTATATAACACGCGAAATAAATGAAAAAACGAAAAATGTTTACACTAAACTTTTTACCAGTAAACAAATTAGACAAAGTGCTTTACTCAAAATATATAGTACGTTAGCAGGGAAAATTTAACTTGGTACCGAGAAAAATGTCTAAATCACGGGCTCAGACGGGAATCGAACCCGTGGCCTCTCGCACCCAAAGCGAGAATCATACCACTAGACCACTGAGCCATCGATGTGTCGAAGAGACACAAAAAAACATTTTACTAGAAATTTTTCAATTAACCAATGTCTGATAGTAGTGTTAACTTGGCAAAATAAATCGCGCAATCTGAACAAAAACGGTTTGTAATAATTCAAAGGTGGTTTTCAGTGAAATCGCGGCAACTGATGATCGGCACAAACCAAAAACATGGCTGCCAACCTTTTGTCTTCTGATTAATCTCAAAGGAGTGATTGTAAAACCACAAATAATTACTTGGAACAAATGTAAGAAATAATCTTTTTCCTACGTGCTTCCTTCGATAGCTCAGTTGGTAGAGCGGGGGACTGTAGATTTAAAGTTGCTATCCCTAGGTCGCTGGTTCGAATCCGGCTCGAAGGAATTTTTCTTTGTTTTTTATAACATTGCGACTGATTACTATCTGGGAATTTAACTTTTAAGATTGGATCTCTTTTAATAGAAGTAGATATATGTTCTTTTACAACGTTGCTATTTTTTGGAAATGATCATAAAAATGTAGCTAGAAACTTTTTGGGTATTAAATACATCAACAATCAGATAATAATTCATTGATCTAACATTTACCTTCCCCGTCGACATCTTCTGAATTCAACCCTAAAAGAAATAAAAAAGATCCAAATAAGAAGAATTCCAATAAAATAACATGCTTATTTGAACGCAAATTGTTTCTAAAACTTATATCTTCTGCGCCGCCATCTTGACAGCTTTCAAGACGTGCCTTTGGATTGAAAGCAAGAAGAGTGTTGAGCTTGCAATAATGCCACCGTACGTGTTCGATACATATATTTTCATGCCATTCAAAATTGTTGTTATAAACTTAGTGCCAGTTTCGCTTCGATGCAAATCTCGACGGGAACTTGTAGTTACCAACCTTCTTACAGGTGGCGCGGACAATTTTCGACGTTGTTAAAGAAATAACAGGTTTTACAGGTAAATGTATATTTAATTAGCCAAAAACCAGGTAGATTTAGTATCTAAGGCTCAGTGGTCTAGTGGTATGATTCTCGCTTTGGGTGCGAGAGGCCACGGGTTCGATTCCCGTCTGAGCCCAAGAAGTAATATTTTTAGCTTGCTTTTAAGTTAAAAAAAAATGAATTTTATAAGTCCCGTGACAGATTATATTTAGCAAAATCCTTCTTTTATTTTATTTTCTTTTTGTTTAAAAAGAAGACAATTTGTTATATCTTTTTAAAAATACCGTACATCTTAACAATTTAAAAGCAATTTAAAAGTCCACCTGAAGTTAGACTTTGATTTTAAAACCACTTATTTCGTAATTTAAAATAAGTGATTTATTGAATTTGAGAAAAATTCACCTATTCCTTCATCTTGCATTTCTTCATTATCGWYTTCCTGTTTCTCYTTCCCACGTGACTGAACACGTGACTCACATCTTACTCTAGGTTTCCCACATCGTTCGCAGATATCCCGGCATACAGTGCAAGGTGTCTGTTTAMATTGTGTTCCACACATTGTGCAAATGGCTTCACATGAATCAACAAACGTCCCACATCGAAAACAGCTTTGACCTTTACAGATTAAATCCGGCGTATCTGACAGGCTATCGACTTTTGRTTCRAAAGATTTCTGCATCTGCGCAGTAAGAAGGCTGATGTCATTTTCATTGAGATCGTCATCATCCCATTTGGAGCGATGCTGGGAACGACCTTTCGTTGCTCCAAGRGGAACTATTTTAGGAGAGGATTTATCAAGATTAAAATTTTATGGCTTTAATATATAAATTGTTGAAAGGGAGATTTATAAAACTGTGATCAATTAAAAATGTTAATATATATCTTTTTAAGTTTACTAGTTTTATTAATAAGGTAATTATTARGTTTAGTTCAGTAGTTATGGGACAATGTCTTGTGCAATTTTATTGTGATTTTTAGATTCTTTGATGGCATAAACTTAACATGGAACTCAATTATTCCGCCATCTTTGCTATAGCGTAGTCTTGCGCATTGCGTCATATTAGCGAAGTAAGAAAATATTAAACGAAGTAAGAAAATAACACCATACCTGATTTGTAAACTTTCTTTGGATATTTTCTCGAAGTATATCTATTCTTCACAGGTCGATACCCAATAAACGCATCGTCAAAATCAGTCTTTGCATCCCAGTCTGCGTCCAACGACATGTCGWCTTCATGTTTGTGACCTCTTTGAGAAAGATCTGGAATAATTGAGCTCTTCTTACGTGAATATATCCCCCGTCTATAAAACGTAAGAGCTCGAGGTGTTGGCGACAGGTCGTAGAACCCTGCATTTCTTCTATACGAYGGTAAATCACTTATATCAAAGCTTACAGCACGTGGWTGGCCATATTTRGARAGTTCGTCTTCAGATGAAGAATACTCGTCGCYGATTGGTCGGATGTGAAGGCTCTCRTCGCTATTCCAACTATCGCTGTCAAGTCCATAAGTTGAGAGTGATGCCTTGGCCTTTTTGGCGGAGATAGATTTTGACTTTTTTGCAGATTCTGTGCTTTGTTTCTTAGACGGAGACTTTTGTTTWCCTTTKGTGGATTTCCGCTTTCCACTGCTTTTCTTTCGAGTCATTTTTTTCAATTGTTCAAGCCTAGCCTGGAGCTTAAAAAGACTTTCTTCTTCAGAGTCTGCCGTATAACCATCTGGAAAGTCGTACTCAACTTCATCACTTTCCTCGTTTTCGTGATTTCGCATTTGTTTACCRTAACTGTTGTTCCGTGTTTTTCCACTTTGTTTCTGCATTGTTCCGCTTTGGTTTCGCTGCTTTTCTCCTTTTCGCATTTTCCGCCTTTTTCTTGTATTTCGCTGTTTTGAGCTTTGGTTCCGTTCTTTTGCAATCTGACTTTGTGTTTTTGCACTTTGGGATCGCTTTTTTGTRCTTCTGCTTCGCGATTTCGCATATTTTCTCTAGAATAAAAGTACAAAATAGATTAATTTGATGTTAAGCTCGTATTGYGCAAGGGTTGTTTGCTGTGATTTGATTTCTATAATTGACAATCAAAAACCTTGAAAACAGGGAATGYTCATTCAATCAGTATATCAAATACATACAATGTCCCCCATAGATGCTGATCTTTTAGCTTTCTTGCTTTTTAAGGAACCAGARGTATTTATTGGTTCCCATTCCTCGCCCGTGAATCCGGATTTATCCTCCGCGTGAGATTGGTTTCCACTCTTCTTCCCACGTTTAATGAGCACCTTAGTCGACCTACGTCGTGCATGACAATCGTACGATAGTTCACTATCACTTTTTACTTTCCGTTCTTGATAATAAACCGAGTAAAGCCTCTTGGGCTTCCTGTGACGGGAMGAAAACCCTCTGACACTTTTTCCGTAGCCTGACTCAGAATCAGGTGACGAGCTGGAAGGCCCCCGAGATTCTTCGCAAAGTGTTCGCTTTGAAGCCATTTCTTCATMATCGTCTTGGCTAATATAATGATTTTCGTTCGCAGTCTCCTCTCCTTGATAATCATTTCCATCTCCGTTTTGGTTTTCGTCAATTCTTTTTGCGCCTTTATTGCTCGATCTTTTTTTAACCCGAACACGCATTCCTGATTTGGGGTCGCTGTGGTCAATGATGTCCATTTCCCGACTTGAGTGGCCGTCACTACGTGACGTCCTGTTGTCATGGTGATTTTGATCACGTGGGTGTTTTGATATGAAGCGCATTGTGCTTCCATCAGCTTCGGTGATGAAGACGCTAAAACAACAAGATATCAATAGTCCACTTTAGATATTTTGGTTCGATGACTATGTACAAGAGAATGCACACGAGGCTCCGGGAAAACAATGGATAATCTTGATTTATTCTTTTATAGTCCCCGGAGCCTTGTCTGCAATATTCTTTTGGGCATGGACACTGAACCAAAATATCGAAAAAATATCAGCTATTTTGAAGATACATGACATTACACAACATACTTATTGTAAATACCTTTTCTATGTTATTATGCTACGCTAACAATATACTTAATTGACGTACAGTTTATATTTAAGTGCAGTATTTTTATTAACCTGTCTTCAGGCGTGAAACTAAAACCAGTATCATTCTCAGAGTGGTTCTCATGATCTTCACGGTCGAGTGGGATCCCTGTGGTGTCTTCTCTACTCCAGYTGTAGTCAAAATCACGATCTTCATACTGGCCATTCAAATGACYCTGTTTAATAACCTGGTATAAAGATAAAATGTCACTTTTAGCTGYAGTAAAGAAGATTTTCTTCACGCTTTAGCCGAGAAACTGGATAATAGTCTTCTTCATGGTTCCTGGCGCCATTTTGAAAAGTGACCGTGCCTTTGCATTGAAGCGAGACGACCGTAGAGCGTGTAATGATAGAAACTTTCTTAAATTCTCACCTACAGACAATTATTCACAGGTATCTATCATTGCACGCTTAATGGTCGTCTCGCTTCGATGTAAAGGTACGGCTACCTTTCAAGATGACGCAGGGAACCGCGAAGGATCAATTCAGTCCCAGATCCCTCCTCGCAATTTAATTAACATTTACCTCTTTGGGCCCCAGTGGAGGTAACACAACGCCACTTGTACTGTGAACTTTCTTTGGTCGTCTGCTAACGGGTTTTCCACAATTTGCACAGATATTTGGGTACRTGACTACAAACCGATTGCCATTTTTGATGTCTGCTTTCTTCTGCGTGACAGCAAGATTHATTCCACATGACACGCAAGTAAACTCTGACGTGACGTCTTTTTCTGTTTGTCCGATCGATGGCAGGACCTCCGCAGTCTGTGAAGTACAGAGATGATTAAGATCATATATTGTTACAATGCGTAATATATACGGTTGATATAATTAGACGGTCATGGTTAACCGGTATTCAATGCGGTCGTGTTTTAGTTTTTTTTATATAAGGAAAATGAGGGGTGACTTGTGATATCCATTCGCAATCCGTTTTAAAGAATCATAACCACCCGTCGTACCTTGCGCGCTCGTATTATTGTTTACATACGTTTAAATGCGTCAAGCATACAATAAATTATAGATTGACAGTACCTGTGAGGTACTTAGTTAAAGGTATTTCTGTCCAAACTGAAACAACGGAAGACGATTTGCGCTCACTTTGAGAAATCCTACAAAGCCGCCATTTTCGTGTCCATCTAAAATGGCGCTTCGGTTCGCAAGGTACGGCGGGTGGTTATGATTCTTTAAGATCGAATCTTACAATATCCCCCATTCATATAGCAAAAAGGGATAATAAAGAGTAAGTGTTACGTTTGTG